AAATGATTGCACTGCTTTAAAGCCCTTTGACCTTTAATAATGTGTGGATGCACCCTGATGTGCTACGCATTCTCCAACGCGCCTAGAAATGCTTCTGATCAGGTGGTCAATGTCCTCCTGTGGTATCTCATTCCAGGCAACCACCAACTCCTCTCGAAGTGCTTCTAGAGTCTGAGGAGGACACACGTGCTCAATTGGGGATAAGTCGGGAGATCTTGGTGGCCATGGTAACAATGTGACATCGTTATGTTGAAAGAAGTCTATTGTGACTCTTGCAACATGTGGTCGGGCATTATCTTGTTGGAAAGTTGGATCTGCCAGGGTGTCAAGATAGGGTAAAAGATGGGGTTGTAGAACTTCGTGGATATAACGCTGCGCGTTCATGTTACCTCTGATGAAAATTAAAGGTGACCTGGAACCATAAGCTATAGCACCCCAAACCATAACTCCAACAGTGTGATGAACATGTCTTTCAACAAAAAACTGTGGATTCCTCCTTTCACCACGTCGCCTTCTAACCCTGGCACGACCATCGTGCATGCCTAAACAAAATCGAGACTCGTCACTAAAGACAATACTGTTCCATTCCTGATCCCAGAGTGACCGTTGTCTGCACCACTCAAGGCGATCACGTATCGACGATAAGGTATCACTCGACCCCCCTTTCCATTTAAGATTTTGGGGGTGGTGTCACCCCCGCTTAGGGGGCTGCACGTGCTAACGTGATTATTTGCCAAACTTGTGTCCCCCTCGAAAACAAAATCGACGGGTCTGAGCGTTATTCCAAACAAAACTGAGCTGCCAGTAAATGCGTCTGTTTCGTTTTCGATGCGCCACCCTGTATTTTCCTCATCGGTATGTATATGCTAACGATGCTGCGTACATCGAGGTAATTTAGGGCGCTAAGTTAGAATATTATCATGAGAAAACTTTTAAGGGTCAAATTTGGTAATGAACTAATTATAGGAATTCTTGCCAGAATGTTCGGATTCGGTTTTAGCGACTTAAAAAACGTATTATGAGTACGGTTTGGCTCACGTTGCCAACTGACTCATTTTTGTAACATAGTTACTAAAAATATAATGAGATATGGAAGGGTCTTGGTCTATACTATTTACGATTTCACTATGGCCGATTACGTAAGAAACAAACTGTATGCACTAGCCAGCTGAAGGCCAAGATATCATGATTTTGACTGATTGCACGTCGAGAATTAATTCAATATTTGGAAATCACGGATTTATCGTAAACCACTGATTAAAAGAAAAAACACTGAGGCACGCGAAAGGGTCATCCCCTTAAAAATTTTAAATGACAAGGGATATCGAGTAATAGCTTGTTTGAAAGGCCTTTCAAAGTCCTTTATCTTAACGTTAGATTTTTTTAAATCGGCCGATTCGTTTTCAAGAAAATTAGGAAAATATTTATTTACCTTAATTTGTCAGATAGAAAACAAAAACATACGAAAATATCACTTTTTATTTCAATAAGTGTTCAAAATGTTGCCCGAAGTTAGAAATAATAGATTTCAAAAAATGGCCCCATAAAAAAGTATAATGGCGTCAAATCAGGAGATCTAGCAGGCCCTTTTCGCTCTATCCATTTATCTGGAAAGTCGTCGTCTAGCCATTGCCGAACCGAAACAACCTAGTTAGGAGGAGCGCCGTCTTGCTGAAAATATATTTCAGCCTCATCAAGTATAGGGTTTCCATCCTTTTCTATTTGGTTTTCAATGGTTTCAGTGAGTGATGCGAATTGATGGTATTTTCCAACATATCCAAATAAATGTCTCCGTTCAAATTTCCATTAATATACAATGGCCCAATCACTTTGTTTCCTATAATGCCCGCCCATACATTAATTTTTTGGGGGTACTGGGTGTGCCCTTCTACAAAACCATGAGGATTTTCATTGCTTCAATACCTGCAGTTATGCTTATTAACAAATCCATTTAGATAAAATGTGCAAGACCTTTCAAACAAGCTTTTACTCGATACCTTTTGGGTAGTTTTTGGTTGGCTTTCTGTTAATCAGTGCTTTTGATGAATCCGTGGTGGAAAGATTTCAAATGAACACCCTGTAGAATCTTTTTGTTTTTCTTGGGTACACTAATCCAAATGTATTTTCCTGAAGATACGTCCGTGCGTTTTAGTTTGTCGAAGCTGCAATGAGAAGTGCGACACATACCTACGAGAGCAGGATCATACAGCGCTTCAAGACAAATATCTCTACAAATCTCGAGTTATCAACAGAGTGAATACAGTGGGGCTCAGTAAATTGAATGTGCACTCGATTTTCTCACCGCCTATCATTTTTCTTCCGATTATGTTGTGTTGCAATATACACTACGAGAGAGAAGTGGGTATAAACAAATATGTTAAAAAGCGATAGAATCCGGCTGGTTAGCGCAGCTCTTCATCGCGTTGCCAATATCTTACACCAGTTCCTTGAATTAAGATGCATGTTTAAAATATGCTTTAGTTTATTCTTCACGCCCACATGGTTTTATTTTGAGCGTACACACTTTTGAATTGTGAATTGTGTCGGATCTGTTTAGAATCCATTCACGATCGGTCCTAACGGCGCTCCATTTTAGGTCTAAATGAAAGGATCGCTACACTGCATCATTGGTTCACTTGGCAACACCGCATCTCGCACATTCTAAGGCAAGGTTTCTACCTCCATGATCATAAATGAGCGATTTTAGTCAGTACCTATCTGGCGCTCATTGGGTAGTATCCTCCTGGTTAGAAGGCAGTGGTAATTTGTATTGCTTAATGATATTTGTTACATTTTCCGACGGCTCGCTATTGGTAAATGTAACAATAACTCAGGATGTGTTGATTTTATCACCATAGGTGGAAATCAAAGATAATTCTAAAATTAAACACTAGGTCGCATCAAAATTGAAATAAACAATTCTAATTAAAATGAAAACAAATTAAATTAAATGTTCGAACAGATCTCCTTCCTGGGTTTGACATTAACCTATTGTAGAAGCCTGTGTGCACATTCTCTGGTCTAACCTTCCCTCTTCGGCCGGCTTCTATCTCTTTCTAGCATGTGTTGATACACATTGCTCGCGCTTCACTCTCGTACACATTGTAACCAAGCCGTCAAACAAATCTGGTGATCCCTGTATACATTTTGTCTTTGTTTCACTTAGGGACCTTTGGATATCAAAAATCTGTCTCAGATGATCCCGTTTTTACATCTAACGGCACTCCACTAATAGATTTCGTGCCGGTGCTCCACTCCAGCACACGTTAGAATTGCAGCTCTAAACATTCTACGTCAGTACTAGGGTCCCGTGCCTTTATAAAGCACAGTCCATGCACGCGGATTCGGAAGTATTTTGTAAGGGTTGTCCGATGAGAGCTTAGCCTACAAAAGAAAAACGAAAATTTTTAATGGCGATTTATTTCTCAACATAGTCTCCTTTTAGCTCGATCTGAAAAATAGGCCTCCGTGGCGGCGATAACCTCCTCATTCGACTAAAATTTTTGCCAGCGAGTGACTTTCTCAAGTTTCAAAACAAAAAGAAGTCGCATGGGCCCGTCCAGATAGTCGATGTAGACGAGGAGCACGTTCGCCGGGTGAAGTCCACCGTTTCAACTGTTCGTTTTTGACAGTGGCCATCGAGAAGAGTCACCGTACACGGAATCCAAGCTCTCTTTAATTTCGTTTCGCGATCGAATCACCAACCGATATTGCTGTTTTTCCATTTTTTTAAAATCCGCGGAGACGCCCGCTTCCACACGCGGCCAAAGCAAAACTACGAGTCCGATTCTGCTGAAGTTTTGACAGTACGAGAATGTACTATACTATACGATAGTAATTTTTTTGCGATAGTAGCGCCATTGGGCGGTGAGGTTCTGGCACAAAGGGCGGATGTTTTTGAAATGGCTAGTACTCTCCGCCTATTCGGGCGAGAGTGGTGGAGAGAATGCCGTTCGACTCGGGCGTTCCTGGCATTTTTACAAGAAGACATTATAGAGCGTTTTCGCGTTTTCGCATTCGGCAGTTTTGTCTGAGTGTATCACGGCTATACAGCCACTTCAATATTCATCTGAATCGAGCTGTTCCTTCTCGAAATACCATCCTTCGTATGGTTCACTCACTTCACACACTTGGTGTACTGATCAACAAAACATCACCACGAGCTCCACGAACGGTTCGAACCCCTGAAAATGTGGAACGCGTTCGACAAGCCGTCCTTCGCAGTCCGTGTGGATCTGCTCGGCAACATGCTGTTGAACTTCGCCGCAATGATCGTTCAGTAAGGCGTATTTTGCACTTTCACCCCTACAAATTGGCCAGTGTACAACAGTTACAGCCTGGACATTACGCACAACGAATGAACTTTGCACGTGAGATGGAAGCACTTATCGAGCAAAATGATAACCTCATTTTGTTCATGAGTGATGAAGCTCCCGTTCATCTTAATGGCATGGTTAACCAGCCGAATTGCCGTTATTGCTGATCACCAACTTCTTTTCACCAGAATTACGACGCCGACGTGTTCCATTCCGACGTGTGTGTTCCCAACAGGATGGAGCGACCGCCCACACAGCCAGAGCAACGATGAACGTTATCCGCCTTCTCTTCCGTGGTCGCCTCAATTCCAGGTTTGGTGATGTTCATTGGCCTCCTCGGTCCCCAGATTTATCTATCTGCGATTTTTCCTTATGGGGACACCTCAAGGCTCGTGTATACTAGCACAAGCCCCCGAACTCTGGATGAGAAATCGCGTGGAAGTCGCCCAGTGTTGGAGAGTCTACGCGAACTTTCCAGAATTCCTTCAGCAATGCATGAAGAACACGTCAATAAATTTGTTTTTGTATAAAAATTACAGATTTTGTGATTTTTCAAAAACCGTCAGACTCTTGTGCCGGACCCTGTACTTGGACCGCTCTCGTAAAGACGCCGCCTTAAGGGTGACGAAAGAAAGAAAAGGGAGAATGGGAGTTGGGAGTTGACTCACAGGAGAATGAAACGCATATTTTTAAATAGTACACAGTTTTTATTGGCGAAAGAACTGTATAAACTCATCTGGTATTTACCTCCGAAAGGAGTGGGTGTATAATAAACTGACATTCAAGTGCAAATTGAAATCAGTACTGTGATATCCACGTTTTGATAATGGGATCTATGTTTGTTAATATAAGCCTCTCAAAATGCTTGTTACAAAAATAGAGAAACGTTCAACAGAAAAATCTGTCATCTCACAAGTCGTATATGATACTAAAAAAATGAAAACCCAGATAACTACAATAACCAAACAAGATTTGTCAAGAAATCACTCACACCATAAAGTGACCACTGAACCTACTCAAGCATTTTCCCCTATATACAGCTTTATGGCAATTTTACTTTCAAGCCATGAAAAATACAAGGCCTCAAAAGTAAATTTTGTGTTTGAATTGCAGATTCAGTTTTCACTTTCATACAAAAAGCATTTTGAAGTTAGTTCTATAAAAAAATTAGCACCAAAACAAAAAAATGTTCCAATTTCGGGGTAACAATGCGCCTAACAATTAACTAATCAAGTCATTTTCATCAGTTGGAAACCAATAGCCAAATATATTCAGATCCAAAATATACAGTCGATTCCAAAACATGAGGCAAAAAATTAGTGTGTGCCTTTTTTAATGCTCCAAAATTACCTTGTCGCTTTTCGAAATATCGCTTCGTAAAGGACGCCACCGCAAATAGGTGTTTCTTACATAACCTCTGAATAACAGTATAATTCAAAGAAATGTTGACAGTGTAGTAATTTAGTTGAGGCCTCGTATAATCGTGTCCTAGGAAAACAATCCACTCATTTAGATCGCAAGGGACGGACTACAAAGATTGGCCAAAACTATGAACTAGGTAAAGTGGTCTGGAAATTTACACACGGAGGTCTTTCTGGTCGTTACTTACAAATCTGATATCAAAATTAGCATTCAACAAAATAATCTTAGCATAATCCAAAGAATTACCGATTGAATTTTTGCCATCAATTACTTGTTGGCCGACATAAACTATGAAAGCAACATCCAAACGGGAGCCCTGAACTGAAGAAATGCTATACTTTCAAGTTCTTCTTTTCGAGCATTTCCTTTAACGAACATTCTGTCATAAATTCCAAATCTAACGTCTGATAAACCGAATATTTGTTACCTCTGCTTATTCCTTTTTTTCAACGTCACACTGCCATACTAACAAGGTGGCTATGTCTTGCGAGACAGACAAGATGTCTTCAAATTTGTCCAAGGATTGTTTCTCAAAGAATAAGGCTTCATAAGAGGCTTTTTCGGCACTGGACTCAAATTTCAAGTTCATCGGTTCTACGAAATGTTTGTATTTAAATATTTCAGATCATATGTATTTCAAATTTTTTGCCACACTGACTATTTCAAATCTTTAAACCACAATGAACAACGAAAAATATAAAAACTAAAATACTGTGTCACCTCGGCTTGTTGAATGTTTAAACTACATATAAGGTCTATCGAAAGCTATGACTAGTTTGTTTATAATATGTCCTGAAAATAATTAAATGCGAAAACTTCATGGTTATTTTCAAAGCCGAAAAGCCCACTTATAGATCCTCGTCCATGGAAGTCATTCAGCTTCAGGTCCAATAATAAAATTCTCACTAGCATCTGAAGAAAATGACTAGATACCGGGAAAATACAAACCGAATAAAACAACAACGTCACATTGTTACCCAGTTGTATCGCAAAATTGACGAATATTGGCGAATAGTTTCTAAAAAATATAAAGCTACAAACCGTTTAAAAGTCATGCAAGTTACTTAGTTCCAAAAAAAAAAAAACAAGACGAACAGCTTACTACAACAAAACATTTTATTGAACTCATGTATGCATATTATACATGTTCGACTACCTCAGTAGTTCCACATACAACAAATTAATGAAAAAAATAACCTAGTCATTAAAATGAGATAACATAATGGAAAAGCAAAAAAGGAAAGAACCACAGATAATATTGCAGTAATTGAAGGGGCAAGGTAAATAGGACTCAAAACCACACAAAAAATTGCTCTAAACTTGACTGTCAATAATTTATATTATCTGTTACGTGTTGTCTGTTGGAGCTTGTCCACATAAGATTACACTATGAAAAGGCGTCAACCATCAGCCTTCAGAATTCTAATGGTTCTTTTTAATCTGAAGGAATAAATCTAAATCCTGGGGTAATGTTATTTTTTGTCAATTCATTTTGCAATACTTAGTCAACCTACTTGACACCATTTTCAACTTTCCGACACTGATTTCAAAAGAGAAAAATAACGTCTCAAACGAGAAATACCAGCCATTATCAGACTATCCGAAAGATGAAGAAATTGTTGACAATCAGGTTATGACAAGTTTTTGTAGACGTAGAACAAGGACCTAAAATTGATATATCAACATCAGAATAAATATTATAACAAAATCGTTATAAAAAGAAGATATATCATTATAAGTACGATTTTTTTTAGGATACAACAGTCTCATACTTTGTATTTCAAAGCCATAACTGTTTCGTATTTGGTCACGAGTTATCTCAAGCAAATTAAGTCACGGTTTAGAAATTAATAATCAAATTTAACCCATCCAAACTAAATCAAACCATGATCGAAAATAACAATCTGACCGTTCTGAAATCGGATAAGACTTGAATACAAGGCAGTCCCAGCCCTATTCAATTTTAAAGAACACAAAACTATTGTGAATTAATTGTGACGGAATCTGGGTGTAAGGTGGAGCACAAAAATCTTGAAAACTCACTCATAATAAGATACAGTTCAAAATATGTATAAAGATTCGATCAACATATACTTAATTCCTTCAATGGCTTCTATTCATTTCTTGTTCCATCTTACACGAATTCTGTTTTGTTCTCTCCTTTTCATTCTTGCGGCAAGATGTAGTAAAACTGTTACGTACATAACAATAATTCGATTATTAAACATCATGGTGGTATTAAGAATAACAGTCATACTAGATCTTCCTTAAACGTACACATTCAGTCAAAATGAATAAAAAGTATTTAAATTTGTTACAGCCGACCTAAGGATTATTTCAAAAAACATATAAAGATACTACTTTGTATGAAATCAAAAAAATGAAGATAATTTAAAAACACTGGGTTTATAATCCAGATAAACAATGCGAAAAGGGAATTAATCTCGAAATGAGAGATAAGAAACAGTTTTTATAAATGCGTGATATTTACAAGTCTGCTTATTATCTTTTATCCCGAGGTTGAAACCTCATTTGATTGGACAATTAGTCTCAATTTATAGTAAATACATGAGCAGCCGTGAAACCGTATTTTTTAACAATGCAGCATAACACTGACTAGTTGAATCTCTCAGTCTACACTGAAATATGATAATTATTTGAAGACATTGCTAAGAAATTCTAATTGTATGACTTTGTTCTCTAGGATACGGAGTTTTTTGTACCGACGTAACAAAGTAGTTAAATTGTAATATACAGTTTTTTAAGATTTTTTTTACTGTGATGAAGCAGTTACCCTCTGGTCAACCACACACCCAAAAAAACTATGGCCGCCAGCTTGAGGGCACTCTAACCGAGAGAGGGGAAGTCACGTTCGTCATCAACTTTCGGAGCCTGGCGGTTTTCGGATCTATCCTCAAACTGAAACAAAAAAATAACTTCAAAATCCGTGTAAAAAGGCGTAGATTGACTCGCAACGCTGTCACCAGTTCGTAGATGATTATATTCGACACACTTAACCAAAAGAAAGCTAGCTACGAATATGTATGGTATACCAGAAAAAAAACGGATCAAAACGGTCAAACAGGCCCATACAATTAGTCCGTACGCATTTTCCCCGTGCCCTACCGATAGTACCGTCGCCCTGGCAGCATCCACTAGCTATACTACAACTATTTAAAACTGTAATGACTCATACGCGTGATCAACACGTGATCAGAGCTCGATCCCGGCTTCCTTCCAGTACAGCCGTATAGCGTACGACATATGTCGTTTCTGTGGCTTTGCGGTGGTCAACAGCACAGACAGAGATGGAAATAATGGCTGATTGTTCTCCGCCGGTAGAACCAATGAAATCAAAGACGCGCCTCGACCGGCAGACTCATAGGCGTCGGCAACGCATTGGAACGTGTTTCGTTGAGCGGTCGCATATTGTGTGTTTTTATAAGAATTGTTGTGTGATTGTTATTGTTTTGGTTATACTTAACCATGGAGAGTACAAATGGCACGAGTGGAAGTACTGAAAGCCAGGGAACAAGTAGACGGCTTCGTAAAGCACTGAAGAGGGACGCGAAAGAAATCGTGCTCAACGTGTTCAATTATCTGAACAGAACTATGTCGCAGGGAGATGCACTCGCGCGTTGTGAAAGTATGACAGGCGTTCCAGAGTGGACCATTCGCAGGGTGGTGCATGAAAAGAAGAAAACTGGAGCTACTACTGATCCAAAGTGTAATTTGAAGGGACGAAAGACAGTTAAATTGGATGACGATAGCAAAATGGCGTTAAGGCGAACCGTACATTCATTCTTCTTTAGGAATGAGATACCAACCCTCAAGGCTGTACATGCAGCGATCAAGGAAAATGAAATTATACCCCAAATGAGCGTCGAGGTAATGAGGAAATCCCTGCACGAAATTAATTTTCGTTACGAAACGCGTAATCGGAAGTCAGTATTGATAGAGAGACCTGAAATAGTCGCCTGGCGTCGAAAATACCAACGCGAAATGATTGAATATAGGCGACAAAGCAGAAAAATCTATTATTTGCACGAGACATGGGTAAATGCAGGTCACATAGTTAAAAAAACCTGGATAGACAAAAACGTAGTGAGTAACCGACAAGCAAGCATTGAAGGTTTGTCAACAGGTCTTCGTGGACCGTCAGGGAAAGGTCAAAGATTGATCGTAACTCATATTGGTAGCGATAGTGGCTTTTTAGAAGAGTGTGACTTGATTTTCGTCTCTAAGAAAGGAGGTGATTACCATGACGAAATGAATGCCAGCTGCTTCGAGAGCTGGTTTCAAGGGGTGCTTCAGCGAGTTGAACCCAACTCTGTGATCGTCATGGATAATGCTTCCTACCATAGTCGTCGAGCCGAACGTGTACCGACTATGGGATCTCGAAAAAGTGACATGCAGCAATGGTTGCGCGAAAAAGGAATCCCGTTTGACGATTCATGTGTGAAAGCAGAATTGTATGAAAAAATTAAACAGCACAAACCTGCAAACATTAGTTATGTGGTGTCACTGTGCTGCGGTTACCGCCCTACCACTGTGAACTGAACCCAATAGAGCTCATCTGGGCTCAAGTGAAGGGTTATATTGCGCGCCATAACACAACCTTCAAATTACCAGACGTTAAGGTTTTACTTGAGACTTCCATACAGCTAGTAACGCCCGAAGCTTGGCAGAATACTATCCGTCATGTTGTGAAGGAAGAAACAAAAATGTGGCAGCTTGACCACCACATCGACACCATCATAGAGCCAGTTATAGTCAATTTCAACGAGGAAAGCGATAGCGACAGTTTCTTACTGTCAGATGTAAGTGGAAGCGACGATGAATAAAGGTAATTCCCAAATTTTTGACTTACAATATGTTTCAAACCACTCTTTATTAAGCATGTGACAAATCTAATTCACCCATGTTAAACATTCATACCCCGCCTATGAACAGCCGACTACTGGTAGTTAAGTGATGTTCACGTGAACATCGATGAGTCATTACAGTTTTAGATAGTTATAGTATAGGCTCGGTAGCATCGCAGTGTCGGTACGAGACTCATCCGTAACAACTCGTTCACACGATACGGTACGGCACGGGAATTTAACCGAAACGACATTTTAACCGAATCGGGTCCAGTGTTCACACGATGCGGTATAATATTTTTGCGCGGATACGCTTCTTGTCAGTTGTTGATTGAGTTTGGCACAATGAATGCAAATATGTTGGTTTTAATGTATTGGTATCGTAGACTCTGTAAAAAACGAGTAATAAGGAGATATTGGGAACACCCTATTATTAGAGAAAGATTTAATTTGGGGTCCTTCCGGACACTTATGTGTCAATTAAGAAGAGATGAAATTAAATTTTTCAATTATTTTCGGATGTCTTCCTCTACGTTTGATGACCTACTTAATAGAGTGAAAAAAGACTTAACTCGAGAAGACACAAATATGAGAACATGTATCAGTGCTGAGGAAAAATTGGTGATATGCTTAAGGTAGGTGTCATTTTTTAAAAACTTTATTTTATATACAAATAAACAAATCAAAAATTGGAAATATCTAGATCTAAAATAGAATCTTGGCTTGCAACAGACTGTGTAGAGGGTGACGGTTCGGCAGTATATGGACTAGTCATTGGTGTTGTTACTCTTGAAATTGTTTGTGGCTGTGGCTGACTGTAATAATCATGATTTTGCCAATTATTGTAATAAGTGGCAATTGTACGCGATGGCATTTGAATATTATCGGCCAACCTTCGCTTCTTTGCTCTCATATTTTGCAATAAACTTAACACACTCGACTGAAATTCCAAAGTTTCATCTTCATCAAACGATGATAATGATGGAAGAAGACTTTTGAAGAATGTAAGATGACGATTTTCATCCTCTTTGACTGTTGAAACCTTGGATAAGTTGATTTGATGGTCTATGAATCGCATCATTTTGGCATCAACTTCATTAATACTCCTCTTTCTGCGTGCAGTAGAAGTACTGATGGGAGTACTACCAGACTGATTTGCTTCCATATTCGGTTGTTCAGGTGGAACACTCTCTTCAATAACTTCTGCATCCAAGTCTTCTATCTCGGTGTTATTTTCATTATTAGTGTTTTCATGACAAACAGTTGAATCTGTAATTTTTTTCAGGAATGACATCTGCTCATTATATATATAAAGTCTTGAAGGTTTGGTCGATGTGCCACTTGTTTTTTGGTCTTTATGTTTTTTCAATGCTTTCATCCACGAGTCTCGAATGTATGTCCACTTTTTTAAAATCAGCTTACCTGGAACAAATAAAATAAAACGTTCCTTCCTTTCAGGTATCTAGCATCTGGGTGTTCGTATAAAGATCTGCATTACTCCTACCGAGTTGGTGTCTCAACAATTAGCAATATTGTGAGAGAAGTTACTCGGAGTATATGGAATAATATGGGTACTAAATTTATGGCATGCCCTGATACGCCAGATAAATGGGAGGAAATAGCGAATGGATTCTGGATGAAAACGAATTTCCCGCATTGCCTCGGTGCGGTAGACGGGAAACATATAAGACTGAGAAAACCCGATAACACTGGCTCTATGTACTTCAACTACAAAGATTACTTCTCTATTGTTTTATTAGCAGTCGTAGATTCAGAATATCGTTTTATATACGTGAATATAGGGTCCTATGGAAAAGATTGTGATTCGTCAATCTGGAAAGAATCTACATTGTGGAAAAAGTTGACACAGGGCGCTTTAAACATACCAACACCCAGACCTTTAGAACAGACACAAATAAATGTACCCTTTGTGTTTATTGGCGATGAAGGTTTCGGATTGCATGACAATTTATTAAGGCCTTTTGGCGGTACACATTTAGACAAGAAAAAGCGAATATTTAATTACCGACTTACTCGCGCTAGAAGATATGTTGAATGTGCATTTGGCATCTTAGCTAATAGATGGAGGATATTTCATCGTCCTCTAGATGTTAAACTAGAAACAGCAATATGGATAGTAAAAGCGTGTACTGTGTTACATAATTTTGTCCGAGAAAAAGACGGGTTTAATTTTGAAAACGCTCATTTGCCAGAAATCCACCTTGACAACTTACCAAAAGCACAAAATATACGAGGAGGACTATCTGCCAATTCCATAAGAACAACTTTTGCTGACTATTTTCTAACAGAAGCTGGTTCTGTTTCTTGGCAAGATGAAGCCATCGGTTAGTAAATTTATGTATGTCAAAATAAACAATAAAATACTTACCAAAAGCCTGCCTCTCCTTTTGTTCCATATCTTCGAAATTCTCCTTTAACAGAGAACATATCTCTCTCCATGCTGACGACTTTAAATTTTTGTCTTTATATGTGTCAAGTGTTTTATCCCATAAAGCGGGTCTCGCTTCCACTAAACTTATCAACAGCTCCGTATTTATTTTCTCCATTGTATATATGTAGGTATATACCATAAATATGAGCAAACTATTTAAAGCCGAAAACAAGTGCCGTTCGGCAAGATAATCGAATCGCGACTGGAGGTGAAATGGCCAATATACATTGTACGTGCCACTGAAGGCCGATTCGGTTTTTTTCCCGAACACAACCGCATGCGACCATACGGTTGCCAGTGGCGCGAACCGAATGCAAGTCCGAACGAATCGGCAGTTTTCCCGTATATGGGGTACGACCGCATCGTGTGAATATGCAGATTTAAAATATTGCGCCACTGCGAGATTCGATACTTTTACCGGTTCGATTAAATGATCGTGACCGAGTCGTCTGAACGAGCTGTAAGATTGTGACGCCGGTGAACGGAGGCGCGTGTCGAAAACATTTCTCCATCCAGGACAAATATCTATGATGTACCAACTATGTCTAATAGGAACAGTGAACTACCGGGATTGAAAGTATATAAATATAGGAGTGCCAAAAATTGAGCGACACCCTCTCCCATCCCGTAAAACCCCCACATCCGTTATCCATCCTAAAAATGTTCACGGTCCTCAAAAACTATAAAAAACAAGTCTTAATGATTTTCTGTTTTTTTCGATTCTAACCAAGACTCCGCTACCAATGAAACAATTTTCAAAGCCAACAAAGATTTTCGTCCTTAGTAGTAACAACCAAGAGTTGCGATTTCACACACCCCATTGGAAAAATTTTGACTATAGTACAAAACGATCAAGAAAAGTGAAAAACCACATTAATAAATTTCTGACTAGGTCCAAAAATAATATGGTGCAACAAAAACATGACAAATTGTTTCTGAAATTTACACAATCGTTGTTATTCGCTTATGTATGACAAGTAGGCTGTCGATACGTTATTAACTTTGATTTTATCCATATTTTTCTGATGTTTAGACTTAGAATTGCTAATGACTGATATTGAATCCCGAGACAGGAAGTGAGATGAAAGTAAAATGCAAGCAATAAAAAGTGTGAGCAAAAACAACCGGACAAGACTCATTACACGCAAAATAGCAGAATCAAAACATGACAGCTTTTGCCAGGGCTATTATTACGAATAACGGATCTTCTGTTTGCCTTTAGCCGAATTTCTGCAAGGTAACCAAAGACCCAGTTTCATGTCGTCGTCGTATGATTTGAGGTTGCTAACGAGGGCGGATTTGGCACCCCCTTTGACGCCCAAGTCTGCCATTATTTTCAAGAAACTGGTATATTTCGCTGTATCTTAGTAAAAAATTACCTTGCTAGACTTGTGAGACCCCTTTACTCGAAATGAACATCCTAAACACACTGCGACCCCCCCCCCCCTAGACAGATTCATAAATCCGCCCTTGGCTGATACATTTTAATTTTTTGCCGAGTTCTTTCTTCTTTTATAAATGTTCGAGTAAAAGTTGCTTTATGCGCTGAAAATTCTTTCTTTTTTCTCCTTAACTCGTCAACCAACTACAGTTAGGGCGCGGTTCGCAGGATATTTAAGGTTGTAGACAATTTGAATTTCATACTGACAATTCTCTTTTGATGCTAATCTAAAACCGTTTGAGTTCGTCGTCCAAGTCGCGGGTAATGAGCTCGGTCCGGTTTTAAATGTTCAACAGCATCTATAATAAAACGATTCAAAGCACATATTCAAAAACATGCAACTTACGAGAATTCGTCGCCTTGTCGACTGGTTGCAATGGAAGGAAAATAATCAAATTAGAACAATTACTAAGTAACAATAAAATATACAGGGTGTCCCAAGTCATTGATCAAACGATATGCTGTGATAGAGGGGATATTTACAATCAGAAAAACCATATAATATACTTTTGAGACTGTAATCTTTTTTCCTGAAAATTACCAGCAAATTTGTTATTTCCAATGTAGCTAAGTTTTGTTTCAATCAAGTAAACAATCCCACTGGAGATATCACTGATTTCATTACCAGAACGCCACCAGTGTACCATCTTTGGAGTTTTTGGTTTATTAGCGAAAATAATGTGAATTAAAAAAAAATCTGTGTGTTTGATATACTTCAGCTGACTTGGTATTTCTTACCAATATATTAAAAGTTTTAGTTTAACAGTTAGGACTTTACGTTTGTTTCTTTCCTCGATCTCACGTATAAATAAAAATATTATACTTCTCACAGAACTGGCTTTCCACATATCAAATGATGCTATCCACCTGCTGCCTATATTGTTCAACAAAGCTATGTCTTAAGCAACACAATTATATATTTTTTCAATTTCTATCAGATTCAGTCAATATTTAAACGCAACTTGTTTAAAAAAAAACCTGTTGTTTTAAAAAAAACTGGATTTTTACCAAGCCTGGCTATGACGAAACATCTGACCCTAATAATCATTCATCTATCACATTATTTTAAAAAGAAATCAAAATGGATATACTCATTAGGAAGACAACCTATTCTTGAACTCCTTTCAAATATTCATTAGTAGTTATCGTCTTCTACTTGCATATACACCTCTTTGATATACATTTTTATAAAACTTTCTTTCAACTTGTTGTCCTTCTGTGGACTAAAACATAATTATTTCTTTACCCATTCTATATTGTTATTATATTATGGAGTAAATAAATTTCTACTACTACTGCCTCTAATATAATTGCTACAAACTCAAATAATTACCTTGGTCGAATCGTCCCTATCCCCGCGTTCCCTATTGAAGCGTTCCCTGTTGGGCCCCTGGGGAGCCCTACCCCCTTGGGGCGCTCCATCTGGTCTGCCTCCACCGCCACCTCTACCTCCCCTAGGACCCCCGCCGCCTCCTCTGCCTCCGCGTCCACGAGGGCCCCCAACGCCAGGTCGCCTGCTGTCGTAGAATTGAATGTCGATGTCAAGGATGTGCTTCTGTCGGCCGACTCGCTGAGGGTACTCGCTAGCGTCGTACTCTTCATCCGAAGATTCCTGGTCAAACGATTTCTAGTGAGAAGAATGGAAAATAGTTCAGTAGATGATACAGATATTTTTGTTACCTCACACTTAATATAGTTTAGAGCCAGGCTGCCAAGCGCGGATCCAGGGGGGGGGTCAACGGTCAAGACCGCCACCTGAGCAATCTAGTTTGACCACTAATACATTCATGAATTTCGAATCTTTTTGATAAATTTAATAAAATACAGACTTTTTACAAATATGTAATGGATACAAACGGGTGAAAAATCACCAGATTTGCTGAAAAATCACACCTGGCAACCCTGATCAATTTGTAAACGCATTGATGATACGTTGAGCTTGACGCAAATACATATAAATAAAATAGTGATTCTGCGTTTTTCGGCTTGGTAGCACTGACAACATAAGAGAAAAGTTGTTTAATTTGATTGAAAGGAGATGGTAAGTAGCAGCAATGCAAGAACTATTACCTCCGCATTTTCCTTTTTCCTTAGCTCATACATCTTTTTCCATTGACTCGGGTCTTCACCTTCACCGGCTTTACGAAGATTGTAAACAGGCTTAGCACGACCAGCACGCTGAGCCTTCCATTCATCCAAGGTCAGTTCTTTAGCTTCCTCTTCAACCGGGGCAGTTTCAGTTTCCGTTTCCTCTCTACATAAGATTTTCAAAAAAAGGACATTACTAACCAAGCCAGAGAAATAAACAGTGCTGTTTGATAAACTGAATTTGAGGGTATGTGCAATAAAGATACATTAACATTTACTATTATGTGGTAATACATGGTAGACTTAAGCAAACTTGAACAGCAGGGGGGATATTTGCTTGTCTAATGTGTAGTGAGTTACATACCCCCAAACATATTATAGATAAACAAGGACCAGTAGATGTGGTTTATACTGATTTTTGCAAAGCTCTTGATTCAATTGATCATTCCTTACTTTTGTCGAAGTTGAAGATTATGTAGGATTATCTAATGGTTTGGTTTCACTTATGGAATCACATCTTACAAAAAGACCTCAAAGGGTTCAGTAGGGTTCTTTTACTGTCCCTTCAGGGGTGCCTGGGGACCTAACCTAGGTCCCCTGCTATTTATAATCAATCAAATGACCTAGCATCAGTTAACAAACCTCCATCTATTCTTTGTTGACGATTTGAAAATTTTCTGTGAAATTAACGATCATAACGATTGTGAAAATACCCGAAACCTTGGTAGTTTAAGCGATTGGGGTGTGAACACTAAACTAGATTTAAATCTTAGAAAATATAAGACTTTAAGCTTTTCTCGCAAAACCAATTCGATACTGTTCAACTATTAGATTGATAATGTACCTATAGATAGTTGTCAGGGTTTCAAAGATTTTTGATAGCTTACAGCTTAAACAAAGTTTTGAGATATTGTGTCGGAAACTGACATGAGCAGTGTGGGAGCACTGAAGACTTCTTTTATAAGGAGTAAGCTGGAATATGGAGGAATTATTTGATCTTCAATCTATCAGAATGCTATTTCAGCAGTTGAATCGGTCGCCATACTAAGGATATTACAACTCTGTATAACATAGTCAATAATAGACTAAACTGTCCGGGCTTACTAGTCAAAATTAAATTTTGCTGTGCCTTCAAAAATGACACGTTTAATTAGACTTTTCACACTTCAACTGATAGAACAAATATAGCATACCAGTCTCCAAAAAATAGAATGAGCAATAGTTGAAGTATTGTCACGGATCTGGAATTATACTAAGTGACATATAAATCCGAACACCCAGTTTAAATGGTTTTAGTTTAATAAAATTTTGTATAAGTACTTAATGAAGCATAATAAGTAAATGATAAAAATTTCAAAATGATTGCACTGCTTTAAAGCCCTTTGACCTTTAATAATGTGTGGATGCACCCTGATGTGCTACGCATTCTCCAACGCGCCTAGGCATGCTTCTGCAATGTCCTCCTGTGGTATCTCATTCCAGGCAACCACCAACTCCTCTCGAAGTGCTTCTAGAGTCTGAGGAGGACGTTGGAAATTGAGCAATCTCCTACCCATCATATCCCACACGTGCTCAATTGGGGATAAGTCGGGAGATCTTGGTGGCCATGGTAACAATGTGACATCATTATGTTGAAAGAAGTCTATTGTGACTCTTGCAACATGTGGTCGGGCATTATCTTGTTGGAAAGTTGGATCTGTCAGGGTGTCAAGATAGGGTAAAAGATGGGGTTCTAGAACTTCGTGGATATAACGCTGCGCGTTCATGTTACCTCTGATGAAGATTAAAGGTGACCTGGAACCATAAGCTATAGCACCCCAAACCATAACTCCAACAGTGTGATCAACATGTCTTTCAACAAAAAACTGTGGATATTCCTCCTTTCACCACGTCGCCTTCAAACCCTGGCACGACCATCGTGCATGCCTAAACAAAATCGAGACTCGTCACTAAAGACAATACTGTTCCATTCCTGATCCCAGAGTGACCGTTGCCTGCACCACTCAAGGCGATTACGTCGGTGTTCTCGAGTTAAAGGGAGGACCCAGTGTGGCCGGTATGAAAACAAGCCAAAACTTCTCATTCGTCGGTAAACACTTCGCATGCCAATAGGTCTTCCGTGTTCTGCACATTCTTTACTGCGGCTGAAATATTCATTTTTAGAGCGTTAGTGAATTAAAAAAAAGCAGTATAAAAACCGGAATGTCCAACTGATAAGGCTGAAAAATGTTTCACTTGTTATTTACAGTAAGATAAATACATTCACCAACTTTTATTAAAATAAAACCATTTAAACTGGGTGTTCGGATTTATATGTCACTTAGTATAGTTCCAATACGCTACCGAATTTCAACAGATTAAATATTGCCAACAATAAAAGGGCCCCAAGGGTCATGCAAATAGTGAAAGGTAAGTTTGGATAAATCTACCATGTATAATACAGCAGAAAACATAATATGTACATATTCCAGCGTACCCCCTTTCCAATATTTTGTATCGTGTTCTTTGACAATTTTTTTAAGGTTTACTCACTTCTTTTCCGGTTCCGTGCTAACTTGAACTTCTTCACCCCAACTGTTGTCCAATTCAGTATTAGGCCTATCAGCTTCTCTGCAAGAAAAGAAAAGGTGTCAACTAGGTCGTCTTCAAACTTCCCAAGGAATTTAAAAATACACTCCACACCACATGAATAGAAACAGTATTATTTTCTTTATTATTCAAGATATGAGAGAATAATCATATAAGCAGTGTTAGAGAAACATCTAAGCAGCATCATATCAACATTTATATCATCTTTTTTATCAAATCTGGGTTGGGTAGTCAAGGATGTTTTGAGTCTAGAGGACTCAAAATTCTTTATCATGGGGGACTATTATTTGAAAGCATTGGGAAGGTCAGGACGCTGATCACAGAAGGGTGGTGAGGAATTTTTCACAGGACCTTACAAATTACAGGGCATTTTATTGCAGGACGCTTACCAGATACATATGATACATATGAGTGGTAACATCACTTGGGTCATGTAATCAAAAAATGGCCCTGCAGTGAACATGTTCAGAGACTTATAGTGCATCTACTCATGTGGTGTGGAGAGTTAACATTTTACTATTTTACAACATGCAAACTCAAAAGCTAAATTAAATGCAATTTTAGTGAGGCTACTAAGCAATGCAATGGAACATGATGGATGTGTTACAAAGTATGATTATTAAAACTTATCTTTAGTGACCTTTATGGCCTACCTTTGCACTAGATGGTATCCTATTAATAGCAAATACCAATCGTAATACATTCTATCTGTAAAACACTTCATGCTAATTTTTATTTATACAAATAAATATGATAGATCTAGAAATGTCCAGGTTTCATATATGTCATTTTCACCTTTCTTCAGGTAAGTTAATAAGCATTTTCACAATTATCCGGAAAGAGTAAATGCAATTTTTTACTATTATTTGCACAATGGTTCGCCATATTGGATCAACAAAATGTTCAAGGTTGTTATTTGTTACATTACCAGTTAATCCAATATGGCATAAGAATAAGAGGATAATAATCAAAAAATAAATGGGCGAATATCTACCCTTTTTCATAATCAGTGAAAAGAGTAAGTTTAGATTTAGAACACTGCTGTATTCATATCAAGTTCAAATATCTTTATTTACATATGCAATAAATAAAATGGCAAGTATCAAATATAAAATAATATCATTACCCTCTTCTCTTGGATCTAAGCTGCAAGGTATCATAATAGCACAGAGATATTTTGATTTTTATCAATGATGGAAATTGATGTGTGTATTATTAAGATTAGACAATCAGTATATTGTATTACACACAATGGTATTTTTTTATTAGGTTTCACCACAAGTATGCAACTTACTCAATAACATCTTTGTGAGATCCCCAATTATGAGCACCTGCACCTTCGCGCTTGTCAACTGGTTTCACACCCCTATAAAAACAAAAATAAAAAACTTAAAGGAACGTTTAATTTACTATTGCCTTTGTTAAATTTTGAATTTCTTCTACTTGAAATTTAGCGTTGACATTGTTGTAAGAGGTGTCCCACTTTTAAGTAAGAAAATGGTTACTCTTTAGGGAATGAATATTTCAAAATATAATTTGAAACTGAAAATGTAAAATGTTTCTTTTGAAACAATGTGATAGGACAACTTGAATTGAAAACCAGTCTAGTGGCAATATTATTTCAACACCAATTGTATAATCCCAAACATAAGAATGCAAATGGAAAATCAATGAAAGCAAGCATAAACATATGCTTCCATTTCTACAGATATAGGTGTTTCGAGACTAAAACTATAACTATAAAGCGATAGATGTACTCATATACAGGGTGTCCCAGAAGTCGACGTCAAGCCGAAACCGGGTGATAGGCAAAGTGATAACAGCTATCAGAAAAATATTTAAAAAAATTTTATGTATGTGTTTTGAAAATTATAGGTCTTTGAAAAAAATTTAGAAATTTCACACCCTACGGCAGTCTGTCAACTCCTGTTACTACAAATATTAACTTTTTTTGGATTTTATTTTTACAATGTAATGACGAATAATGCCTCTTCAAACTGGTGTCTCAACCTTACTGTCAACTTTTCTCGTTCAGGGAAAATTGCCACTTATTTCCCAACCAAGTATTCCAAAGTAAAACTTTGTTCAACTTTAACTGGCTGTACTGGAAAATAATGTACTACGAGAGTTTGGCACGTAACCTTAAAAGTTGGCGCATTTAATAAGGATTCCAAAATGGTATAACACTTAGAAGATTACTCGTTAACTGATAGCTGTTATGACTTCGCCTATCACCCGGTTTCGGCTTGACGTCGACTTCTGGGACACCCTGTATAACTACTGAAGCAACCTAAAAGCTATTTAAATAATACAAACCAGACAAAAAATGATACTCTTCCCTACTGAAAGTACTGAATATGCCTATCTGAACTGCTTGTTGCATATTCTAAAAGTAGTTAGAGTTTTAGAAGGTGTTCCTTATTTTTGTTTTTTTTTTGATCTACTGGTTTACAATCGCAAAACAAATACTAAGAAACCTAAGTCAGATGATTCATTGAAATAAATAATTAGACAGAAGCAACAAACTGACACAATTTTAATTAGTATTTTAGCATTATTGACATCTAAACCCAGTTTGACAACCTCAAGTAGCACTCAAACATGACAGGGCAGAACACGTCAGCTTTTTTATTTCAAACAGTTGTTTCTAAAAAGAAAAGTCTTCACATTCAGGACAACCTGTTTGCATGCTGATTTAATCAAATTCTCTTGCTTTGGATGTGCTACAATGAGAAACAGCTAGCCTGTTTCAAAGGCCACTTATAAAGCATCAGCATAAGAAGAAAATTGTAGTTTTCATTTGGACTGCCAACAGTTGCTTAACTAAACTTACGTCTTATCAGATCCACTTTGCCTATCAAATTCCCGTTTGCCTCGCCTGTCATCGAAGTTCCTCCTCGGTCCCCTAGGGCCTCCAGGTTTATTACCAATGGCTCTTGGTTCACGGCGTTCCCCACGAGGTCGACTCTCAAATCCATCATTGCCTTCTCCTCGCCTTGGTCTCTCCTCACGATCCCTTTAAAACATGCAGTGATTAAGATTGCACCAACATATGCTATGGTATGTTTAATCAGAACTTATTGAATTCCAATATTTCCAATCATTTACTAGGTTTGAGATACAAAAAAGCAGCTTTCGAAACAAGAGTGGAGAGGGCCAAGAATACCAACGACCAGTATTTGACATGCATAATATTAATAATATTCTCTTTGTAGATCCTTTGGGCTTGAAGTACCACAGCAAGTGAATATAACCGGCCGCGTGGTTGTGGTTAGACGTCTCCTTGAAAATTCGAGGTCGTATAGCCATTTTATACTACAGTGTGTAGGTTGGCTCTTGTTGTGGACTTCGTGTGTCGTTTTTTCCCCCACCAACTTCGTTACCTCAGGTTACACCCGTATCCGGATGTGTGGGCACGTGTATCTACTTTTGTAATTTCATATGTGCATTCATTTCGGGCCTGATGAAGCCAACCAGCAGAAATACGTATCGCTCGGGTTACCTATCCTATTTTCTGCTCGAATCCACTTTCCTCCTTTTTGCGGATTTTGACCATTATTTTTTCCTACTTGTTATATACCTTTCTCCGAATGATCATATTCTCTATATATATATACAGTAATGGACAAAAGTATATAGACAAATTAATATTGTGCTGTATTTCTTTTTTAACTTGTTTTATTAATACACCAACCTGTATACATATTTCGTTATAGCATAATACTCACTTATACATAAATAAATTAATTAGACTCCCTTCAATAAAAAATTAATTGAAAAAAAACTGGTACTATGTAAGACAAAAATATATAGACAAAGCAAAACAATTATAGAAAAAAGAAGCAAAGTTCATTGAATTATAGAAAACCAACCATGTTTGTGTTAATATTTTGTAGCATAACCATTATTATCAATCACCGCCTGGCATTGTCTCAGCATAGATTGTAGAAGTTTCTTGATATAAGATTCATCAATCTGTCTCCTCTTTTGCTCTCAAGCGGCAAAAAGTTCATCCTTGTTTGAATAATTTTTATCTCATATTTGCTTATCCAAGTGTTCCCATAGATTTTCAATGGGGTTTATATCGGGAGACTGTGAAGGCCATTCGAGAAATGGTATTTTTTCATCCAGAAAGAATTTCTTTGCGAGATTTGAAGTGTGCTTCAGGTCATTATCTTGCTGGAAGATTGATCTTAAGAGCATACTGTCTTCCATATAGGGTAACATGACATGCTTTAGTATGTCTGTGTATACAAACTTATACATAATGCCATCTATACTATGTAAAGGTCTCATCCCAAACCCCGAAAAGCACTCCCAAACCATAACAGACCCGCCTCCATCTGATCCAAACATATTGAACTTGGATTCGTCACTGAAACATACCCTCCTCCAGTCACAGATGATCCAATCAAGATGCAACCATGCAAATTGTAATCGGTCCTTAAGGTTTTTCCTCGAGATTAGCGGCTTCTATGAATTCGTTTTCTAAAGGTATTTAGGTAAATATTCATATTTGTCTATATACTTTTGTCCATTACTGTATATATGTTTTTTGCACTTCAGTATGGATAGACTAGCCAGCCAGGCTCGTTTGATGAGCTGTGAGCCAGAGAGCATGAGTATGCAGACCAAAAAAAATGTCTCTATCATTGTGAGTTTTCAAGGGCAAATGTATGGGGAAATCCATGATGTGTGAAATATGGCTAATAGGTGCATAGAATTACCAGGGTAGGGTGCGTATAAATATAATATCAAAAATTCTACCCCCAACCCCCAAATTTCAACCCCTACAAAAATGAGTCTGAAAATAATCAGGACCTGCTGAAACGTCAAAAAACGTATTTTACTGTATTTTTTTTTGTTCTTGGCTTTTTCCTCTGCCACCACTGGACCGATTTTCACAAAATATGAAGCTTTTTTGCCCTTGGCATAATAACAACCTTGTGAAAATTTCATAAAAATCCAAGTGGTGCTTCTCAAGTTATACATAGGTGGGCAAAGATTATTGGACAGACAGACCAATGGAAATGAGTGACTTGGTTTTTCGTGATGTACCTGTCATATATAAAATAATTATTTTTTTTTTAAATATCTCATTCTCGAAATTACAATACTTCCTCACCCAGAGACAGGAAGTAAAATGGACAAAAACATACAAATTTTCAGGTAAAATATACATGATTTTGTTACAAATACTGAATATTTTCACTTTGCTTGCAAATGATACATGTTGGATAGCTCTTCATGAGATTTTTAATCAAAAACTTGACACCAGATATCTATAACAGCATGGAAAATTATACTCTGTAGGCCACATTTTGTTAAACAGATATTAGGAAAATCAATAATCTAAACCTTTACAGTCCATTTTTTATCCCCACTCCATCTTAACCTATAATATGCTTCATGATCATTAAATCTGATCTCTGTATACATTGTATTTGGTACAGGTTTAGCTTTACTGCTGCACTGATTTAATAAAGTTAATAATTCCATTTGATTCATTCCACATGAGAATAGAATTTTAAACAAATATATAACGGACCATGCACCATTCTTATAGGAAAAGTGATTAATGTGGATTTCCTCTAAACATTGAGGCTGTGTGTGAGCTATGTGCTTAGCTATATAAGGCATAAATTCTCAAATACCCAACTCCTGAGCCTTCTGGACCCCTTACATTGCATTAAATTAAGTCAGTTGTAATGAAACATTTGATTAGCATCACTTGGAGAATACAACCCATTTGGAGCAAAACCACTGGAATCACTTTTCCCATAAGAATGTTGCATGGTCCTTTCTGAATAGCATAACCTATGTTAGCTTAAGTTAACTGAAAATTTCTTCACAGCACATTATCAAGTATCAACTAAAATATTACATAACCATTTAACATGATAAATACCCTACAAATAATTTTGCATTATGACTAGTAATTCTTATTTTGTCAAAGTTTTAAAAATTATCTAAAACATACTAGAACAAAATCTAAAACCATGCAGGTGTTTAACATAAAGAAACACAGATGTCTAGATGATTAAGTCGTCCTTTTCAAAGAGATAAATTTAGTGCATCATATTTACCTGGAAAACTGTCAATGAACACAAAAAACACTTTTACTTTAAAATGCATTCGCATCATTTGATGTTTAAAGCATTAAAGTGTCAATATGATAGCAACTGTCAAACTACACATTTGTTTTGCACTTAAAAATGCATGCAAAATAAAAATCACTCACTGGTTTTCAGCAGAACCGTTGAAGGTTTTTTCCTCACGGTTTCTCCGATTATTCCTTTCTTCCCGATTTTCGTTATTAAATTTATTGAACCTCTCACGTTCAGGTTTTCCCTCAGCGCTTGATCTCGGCGGTGGTTTAGAATCTGAAATATATCGCCATATTACATTAAACAAATGAAAGTGAAACTGATACCTCTTATTTTTATAAATAAATCACATGTGCATAATACTATCAGCCATGGCTGCCTTTACATCACATCTCGCTTACCGTCCCGTTTATTTTCCTGGACTTTATTAGAGTCCTTGATAGGTTTTTTCTGTGGGGCAGCAGGTTTTCCCTTAGCAACAGCAGGTTCAGTTTTCACTTTGTTTTCCTTCTCCGTGACTTTGGTCTTTTTCTTGAGTTCTTTCTCCTTTTCCTTCAAATTCAGCGTTTCCAGTGGATCGCTTTCGTCGTCCAGAAAAAGAGCGTATCGATTGGCAACGCCGATCCCGTAGGAATTCTCCATGATGGTTATTTGAAGGAAATATCTTCACAACTACTTGATGTTGGAAGATTTGTTTACGGCTCTTTTAGCCTTCTTTATTCACGCACTCATTCAATGGCAATATGGCCGGTGCACGAGGTGAGATCACAGAACACAGAACTATAATGGAAAAATGAAACAGCGCATGCACCCAAAACAGAGCTTTGATTCCATTGGCTGCTGTAATTGGAGTCTGTCAAATTTCCCAATGAGATTCCGGATCAGTTGACTACAAAAGTGGCCGTTTCGGCGGCTTATTCAAAAAGTTATTCATATTTTAATATGATATGAATGCTTCTCGAAAATTAAAAAAAGCTCCGACACACTGACCTTAGGAAAACGTTAAAGTAATCCATGCTTTAATACATATTAAAAGGTTTACCACTCGTCAACTGAAAAGTACTGTGAAAGATTAAAAAATAAAGAACCTGCCATCTGCCGGTACTTCTCTTGCCTTCATTGTTATTTTTACCGCCAAATTTTAATAGAGGTGGGTAGGGCTCATCATGGGGGGTCAACTCGTATGGGAGAATGCGAAACAGTGCGGTGTTGTCGTTCCACAACCTGACAACATTATCGGCACCAAGAAGAAATGGTGGCTTTGACAAGTATCACGGTTTATTACTGTCATAGTTATGTACTTAAGTTTGAACCTTGGGAAAACGACGATACGAGGTGTTCAGAGACGATCGGATGAATGCTTCTCGAAAATTAAAAAAAGCTCCGACACACTGACCTTAGGAAAACGTTACAGTAATCCATGCTGTAATACATATTAAAAGGTTTACCACTCGTCAACTGAAAAGTACTGCGAAAGATTAAAAAATAAAGAACCTGCCATCTGCCGGTACTTCTCTTGCCTTCATTGTTATTTTTACCGCCAAATTTTAATAGAGGTGGGTAGGGCTCAGCATGGGGGGTCAACTCGTACGGGAGAATGAGAAACAGTGCGGTGTTGTCGTTCCACAACCTGACAACATTATCGGCACCAAGAAGAAATGGTGGCTTTGAAAAGTATGACGGTTTATTACTGTCATAGTTATGTACTTAAGTTTGAACCTTGGGAAAACGACGATACGAGGTGTTCAGAGGCGATCGGATGAATGCTTCTCGAAAATTAAAAAAAGCCCCGACACACTGACCTTAGGAAAACGTTAAAGTAATCCCTGCTTTAATACATATTAAAAGGTTTACCACTCGTCAACTGAAAAGTACTGTGAAAGATTAAAAAATAAAGAACCTGCCATCTGCCGGTACTTCTCATGCCTTCATTGTTATTTTAACCGCCAAATTTTAATAGAGGTGGGTAGGGCTCAGCATGGGGGGTCAACTCGTATGGGAGAATGAGAAACAGTGCGGTGTTGTCGTTCCACAACCTGACAACATTATCGGCACCAAGAAGAAGTGATGGCTTTGACAAGTATGACGGTTTATTGGTGTCATGGTTATGTAGTTAGGTTTGAACCATGGGAAAACGACGATACGAGGTGTTCAGAGGCGATCGGATGAAAGATTGAGAGGCGACATTATTTTTGTTTAAAATAGTTCATTCGCGAACTAGTTCGTTTTAGCAAGTGTGGCCTATTGAACTAGTTCACCGAAATGAACTAAGAGCACATTACTAAATCCCCCTTCATCGGCACCATGACACATAATTTCTAGCTGTTGCCTACCAGACATACTCAATGTACAATGCTTTTCTACGCAAATCTGTTTTCAGCTCAAATCCTTAACCTTTCTTTTGTTTTTATGGATGATATTATTTAACAAACATTCTAAGTCATTGAGGTAGCATGCCCAGTGCGAGTGTTGAGAATGACAGCAAGTCCTCAATAACCGGCCATTTTTTTGCTAACACTTTCCGTGAAGTTGCCCTGGGGATAGCAGTACTTTTGCTGGTGAAGCCTTGCCAATAGCTCATGAATTCATACGCGTATAGAGCCATCCGCCTTCTTAACCGTCAGTAGAGGATGAAAGGACTCACAAACTGCCTTTTAGCCTTTTCAATCACCCTCCAATCTCCCATCTGTCTTATTTGTCGTTTGACTTCCTCCTTATACGCTGGCACGAAAGGGTATTGTTGCTTATGAAACGGAGAATAATCGGTGAGCTTAATATAGTGGACATAACCTTTAAATCGCGCCGCCACGGCTCATTAGATAAGGTTGCTGAAAATTCGTGTAAAGTATTTAACAGCTTCTGTCGGTCATTATCATTAAACTGGATTGCACTGAATACGCTTGACTTCGAAAATCACTCTCAGAGTACTGGCCCTTATTTTCAAAATTCACTCCTCTCTCTTCATCTTCAAACATCTCCGATATTGCTAACAGATTCCAAACTTGCTTTTCTCCCTCAAAAGCTATCTCACTACCCTTATGCAATATCGAACTTCTTTGGAAATCAATCGCCGCGTTACTATCTTTCAACCAATTGGGCCCCAGAATAATTTTGTGCGTCAAACTAGGTATCTCCCACAACGGATATTCAATTTCTGGGTTGAAATGGATAACGTTCATATTTTCACCTACAGGCCAAAAGGCTGGACGGATTTTCACATATGAAGTATCGTTGGATTCATCTTAGCGGTGCGAGTGACACTGGCTACATTAAAATTGTATACAAAACAAAATGGTGGATTTTAATAAAAGATTTCAACCCTGTAGTTCCTATTTCACAGGCTATAGCTTAAAGGGCTTTCTAGCTCCACAATAGAGCATATCGTCATTTTACTGTAAAAACAAGATAACTCGATTTTTCTACATTACCTATATTTTAGTAGGTTCTGTGGAGCAGGATTAACATGCTCATGACGTTAATACTGCACTACATTTATCCTTATTTCACAGAACATCCTATAAGTACTTGTAAGTATGAAAATGTACGCAACTCGAAAAGGAGAAAAATGGAGTTATCTTCTTTTTACAGTAAGCTGGCGATATAACAATAAGTGGAAATGACTTAGTCTAAGCAACAATATTTTTCTCTATTTCCTTTCACGATTTTTCTGGTTTTTCAAGCTTCTATTCAGTTCTTCGATGCGGAAAAACATCCTTGACCTGAAAGATAGTTTTTGAGCTTTTTCAGGGCAGTCAATGTTGCTACTCGTTAACAGAAATTCGCCTATAAAATTTTTCTTTTCTGTCACTATTCCCATTCAATGTAGTAAATACCTTGATCAGTTTCTCAATTTGATTCATGAAAGCTGTGAAAGGTTTTGATAAGCCATCCTCACTAAGATGGTCTTTACAGGAATAAGTTTCATTTGAGTATCGTGGTTGCACTGGGGGAATTTACATTCGACTTTCTCCGCCGAAATGGCGGCCGTTTTTGACAGCGACAGCCGACAGCAGAGTTTCATTCAGTGTATCAGTGATCAGTGTACATGTCTGTTGTCTTGTGATTCCTACCAAAGCTGTGCTTTCGCCTCTCAGTAGTTGTTGTTGGTTGACATTTTTGTATTTATTTTTGTAGTGTTGTCAAAATTGTAAACATAACATTAAACGCATTTCAAAACATTAATCCTGAAGATAAAGAGCATGCTTCTAGCTGATGCTAATGAAATTCATCATAACAATTAAATAAGCCACCTTAAACTATGGATTTCATTCAGACTTTCAATGAGAGCTACGAAAAACTCGCAAACAAATCCATAGTAAACATACTATGGAAAGAAATATTGCAAGAAGAACGGACCGAGGATCACCTCGATGAGTTAATTGAATACAGTTTTCACTATCCCGTTGATACTGATGCGTATCTCGAAAGATTACTCGAAAAATTTGACATACTGCATAAACAAGAGTTACGCTCTATAGATGGGCATCTGAAGGCATATATCATCACTTTTCTGTATTATTGCACTATGAAAGATAACAGCAGAGTCTCTGTACATACAACTTTACTAGCATCAAGCTTGTACATAAAACTTGTCTCCATTCCTGGTGTTGGTAAAATATTTGATGAACCTAATATGCTGAAAGGCCAACTAATTCTTTTGGTTAAAATAGCTAAAGAAAGAAATATAGACGTTGCTAGAAAAAGATATATTGTAAAGCTATTTAAGAAATATGCTCTAAAAAAGAAACCTGATATAGCTATCCTACAAGGCATAGCCAACACTTTTGTTCTAGCTGGACTAATGGTTTCTACAGAAGTTGTAAATAACTTTGAGAGTGGTAAGTTAATACTCTATTCTCTGATGTCATTATGAATAAATATATTTAAGTTTCACAATGTGAAAGATACTGGTGCTCTTCAATTGCCATAAGGACATTTACTTTCAAAAGCACAGACCCCTCCCCCCACACACACTTCAAATTTGTATTGTTAATACCCTCTGTGATACAACTTCCTGCTCAATGAATCCTGAGCCCCCCATGAACTTATTTCTATGTACAGTTGTGATGAAAGAATATCTGGGGTGGCCTAAGGGAAAGGTTGCACTCCCATTTGTGACTCCTGGTATACATATTTTGGGAAAAATGCTTGGACACATTGATTTTTATTTCTAGTGGGACGTCTTTTTATCTATAGCCATACGATACAGGGTGATCCAAATATAAACTTCAGATTTTTAAATGTAATGTATAACAAAGTTTATACCTATCTGCAATTGTTGCGAAGCTATTTGAGTTTATAATAAAATTCTACTAACTTGATACTGATAATAATGAAATCCATGACACAAAAATAATACACCAGACATTGTCATTTTGTGTCATAGAAAAACTTTGTCTTTCATTACAAGTTGTTAAGTTACCTACCTAGTTGTGATATATATTATAATATCAGCATACTAGAGGAAAAGCTGTACAGCATGGGAATCAGGGGCTTCATAATAAGCTACGCTGATGATACCTCAGTTGTAGTAAGTGGTACTAAATTTGAGGAACGTGTTCGTAACATCACTCTAGTGGAAAGTGAAATGTAGCTTTGGTGCCAACAGAATCGCTTGATTTTAATTATAGACAAGACTGTTATCGTTCACTTTAATACTTGTAGGTCACAGCTTCACAACGAAGACACTGACTCGAGGACATTTTTGGGGATAATTATGGATTCCAAGCTTACTTGGCAAATGCACATTGACTCAATATGTAAAACTCTCAACAAGTATATTACTTTTTATTTCAATAAGTGTTTGAAATGTTGCCTGTTATTGGCCAAGCAATGATATAGGCAATTTTCAAATTCCTGACGGACATTTTCAAAAACATGTTGTGGGATATCATGGTAGCTTTCAACAAAAACAAAAAAAATCATGCAGTAAGGGGTTAAGTTAATTTAGTCGAATTTTATTAAAAACTCAAATAGCTTCACAATGATTGCAGATAGGTATAAACTTTATTATACAAAATATACCAAGAGAGTCACAAATGGGGGTCCGACCTTTTCATTGGGCAACCCTGCATAGCGATCTTTTATTTGAATGATGATGTATCAAGTATGCATCTTCACGATTCAGCTAGCAAGGTAATTGTTGCTACAAAATACAGCAATATGTACCATTGAACACAAGAATGATGGAAGGCTGTTTGTCTAATCTGATTTACACAAAAAACAGCTTTTTTATATCACGTATATCGGTGTTAGTCGAATTTTATTAAAACAAGGATTGTAGATAGGTTGGTATAAACTTTATTATGCAAAATATACCGGGAGAGTTACAAATGGTGCGACCTTTTCGTTGGGCCATCTGATTCATTGGTAAAACCTAGGCTAGATTAGATATCACAATTTTTTTTAAATCTAATTACTTGGTTATCTCAGTTGGTATGTGAACTTTGCTTGTCTATAGTTATGTAAATGAAAGTCCCACTTTTAAGGGCACCATGTACATGACACTATATCAAGAGTCATTACTGAATCAAGTATTTCCACATTTACAGTTAAAGGATTCACGAAATACTGCCTGCATTGCTTAAGGCGATTGATTGAAGCAGAGGAAAATGATCAAAATATTAAAGGCTTGTTTGAAAGTGTGTTCAGGTGTTTCCGCAGAAGTGTCATTGAACCCATTCCTAATAAGCCAGCTGCTATCAGTGTTATAATAGCTTTTGTAAGGGATGTTCTCCAAAATGAAATGGATGTGCACAAATTCCAGAGCGTATTGGATGGATTTTGTTTAGTATGGGGTAGAGAAGATTTTGACCATTATGAGGTAGGATGTGTACTACATAGGTTGTCCCAAACTTGTACCATTATATCACTTGTAAAGTTAGTAAACTCATGTTCCTCTAACATTTTTAGGAAGCAGTGGTAATGATGAACTTTCTCAAAGCCGAATACTACAAAGAATTGCTTAGAAGAATGGTGCTGTATACGCAATCCAAAAACCATAAAAACTACAGCATAAATGTTTTTAACTTATTTTATGGTATGATAAAGAATTTTCCAAATTTTCCACTGGACAAAGTGGATGTATTTTCAACCTGTGTATTCCGTAATATTATATTTCACTTTGTTGATTCTGACAAGCACATGGCAGACAGAGCTATAAATGTTGTTACCAATATTTGTGAACTGAAAGATAATCCATTGGTTAACCACTTGCTCAGTGTAAGTATATGTCCATACTACAAAAATATTGTTCTAAAGCCAAAGATTGGGAGATATTTTTCTTAATGTAACAGCTGAATCTTATCATGTTGATAGCACTCCATTGTATGGTGACTAGTTCATACCACACCACATATGTTTAATTACTGTTTACTGTACAACGTTTCGACTACCATGGTAGCTTTTCCAAGTTTAGTGGCAATGATAATATATAGGGTGTCCCAAAATTGATGGATAATCCTGCAACTGTAGATAGGTCACGTCATGGCATACTAGATAGTAAAATTTTGTTTCATTAAAAGCCTTGTAGTTTTCGAGATTTTCAGCATTCATTTTTCTGAAAAACTGGCTTATATTCAGTTAATGTCGTGCCAGTTCTACAAATATCAACCTGTTTGAACGAGGTTTGTTTTAAAATACTCATAATTATCCATTCTATCTCGTCCATTATTACTTTTCCTTGAGGTGGCGAAAAACCCTCTCTCACTTCTGACTTTGATACCATGTAGAGTGAGACTATCAAATACGATAACTGTGTCAATTTGTCGAAAAAGTTGGCCAACTATCGCCAATTTACAGGGTGTTCCTTAATGATATGCGAATATTTAAAGGTGTGAATCTACATGAAAAATTAATGTTAGTTTGCTTTATAAACTATGGTCCACAAATGTTTCCTTACAAAAACTCGGGGTGTTGAAGTTTTAGGAAAAAAAATGGAAATTAATTAATATTTTCAGAACCGCCTCAGATATTTCACTGATATTTAGTACGTAGTGAAAGTTAATAAAGTTGCATATTTTTCAATGCAAAAATAATTTTTAGCTTTAACCGTGGCGTGAGTACGAGTATTGACTTCGATATTTTTTAAGAATAAAATGGTACGCCAATGGTTTTTTGCCAAATAAAAATTATTTTTGAATTCCCCGTTCAATTTAAAACAGTGCCCCTTGCTCTTTGCGTACGGCCTTCTCGAAGCCATGCCTGACAACACCTAACCACAGTGTCTACACTTCTTTGCACTCTAACTGCAATTGCCCGAAAAGAAAGTCCAGCTTCCCGAAGTCCCACTATACGGCTCCTATCAAACTCACTAAGTTGACGAAATCGTACAGGTCTCCGTACTCTAGGCATTGTAACCGATCGTAAAGGATGTCAAGAACCAAAATCCACCAACGTTGATTCTTTACTGCGGCTGAAATATTCATTTTTAGAGCGTTAGTGAATTAAAAAAAAGCAGTATAAAAACCGGCATGTCCAACTGATAAGGCTGAAAATTTTTTCACTTGTTATTTACAGTAAGATAAATACATTCACCAACTTTTATTAAAATAAAACCATTTAAACTGGGTGTTTGGATTTATATGTCACTTAGTATAAAAATTCAGACTTTGAGACATGACCTTTATGTGGGTTTTTCGTCGCTTTAAGGGAAAATAAGGTTGGACGGAATAAACTGCTTAATTCTAAGTGTTTCAAAACAAACCTGGTTCAAATAAGTTGATATTTATAGAAATGGCATGGTATTAACTGAATATAAGCCAGATTAAAAAAAAGATTGCTGACAATCTGAAAAACTATAAGACTTAATAAAACAAAAGTTTACCATCTAGTAGGCCATGACGTGACCTATCTCCAGTTGCAGGGTTAACCTTCAATTTCTGTATTTTGCTTATCTGACGTTGGTCCTTTCATTTCAGAATATAATAATTGAAATATGTAAAATAAGTTGATTTTGAATGATAAATTGACATTGTTTCTTCCAGCCGGCTCAAGGAATATCAAGATTTATTTCAACAGAGGTACTTTTATGTTCTTTCGTTGAAGTTGCTGACCAAAGATGGGGAGCTTCTCCAAGAAATCAGAATCTTTTAATGATCCTGTCCAAAGTTTTACCTCTAAGCAATGTACATGAAGAACTCGTTCAACAGGTAAACGATATCTAAGAAATAATTTGAAAAAATAAATAGCAAATTTTTGAAGAAGCTATAAGATGCACGGTATATACAGGGTCCGTCAGAAAGAACGCATGTTTTTCGAATGGGTACTACATTGAGTGTACTGGTCCCGTGTCGGTGGGGGAAGGACGTGTTTCAGTTGGCAAGATGGTTTGGAACGTTGAGCATCGTGTGTTCACTGTACGTCGGTACTTTCAAAATGGCGAGACTGTCGTTCGAACCCAACGTGAGTTTCGCGTTCACTTTCGTGTTCCACGTCGTGAGACAGTACCAGACCGTAACACCGTTTTGAGATGGGTGGAAGTATTCAACACAACAGTTAATGTGATGAAGAAAAAATCGCCAGGGCGAAACCGTACTGTTAGAACCCCCGACAACGTAGACAGAGTGAGAGTTGACACGCTGCAAAGCCCGAATCGTTCCCTAGGGATCCACGCGTCCTCTGTACGTCGCATCTTGAAGAAGAATTTAGTGTTTCATCCTTACAAAATCCAAGTTTGCCAACAACTGTTGCCAGGGGATTATGCACAACGTGTTAATTTTGCACAGCTCATGATTGAACAGTTGGATAACAATGACATGACGTTGTTTATGAGTGATCAAGCACATTTTCATATAATGGATACGTCAATAATCAAAGTTGTCGATATTGGTCTCCAGTGAACCCCCAACAGCTGCATGAGCACCTCCTTCATACCCCGAAAGTTACAGTTTGGTATGAAGTAGGTACAAGGATGATTATTGGCCCTTATTTCGACCAGTCCGCCTCAGAACAATGTAGTTCCAACAAGATGGGGAAAAATCTCACACAGCTTGCCCTTCGCTGGAACTTCTTCGGCAAAAATTTCCAACACGTCTCATTTCACGTCATGGCGATATTCCATGGCCCTCTCGCTCCCCGGACCTGTCAACGTGTGTTTTTTTTTTCATGGGGCTAACTGAAATCAAAAGTTTACCAAAGCAAGCCTCGTCGATTTGAAGGAGGAAATAAGAAGAGAAGTAACCCAAATTCCTGCATGGATGCTGGCCAAAGCAATGGGCTCATTTCGGGAGAGGCTTGATTACTGCATTTCGGCTCAAGGGCGCCATATGGCCGACATATTTTTTAGAACGTAAACGTTCTTTCTGTATTTCAGGTTCTAGGTGTTGTGTGTAAGGATTGCACTCCTCATTCTTTGAAACCTGCATTACCGAGACTTCACGAACTATTTTGTATAATGTCATTGAAGCAACAGATAGGTGTTGCTGAGGCAGTTTTAAGAATTATTTTTAAAATGGCAATGCACCCAGATGCTACCTCAGCAGAATACTGTGAGGTAAGTTCTTCAAGTTGATACTTACACTTACCACATACTTCTAGGACAATACATGAATGTCTATTTCAACTGCAAATATGCATTTATAATTGATCACAGTATATTTATTCTTTAAATGAGTGTTCTATTTTCAGCATCTTTTTCACTGTCTTTTGAATCCTTCAGTTATTGACGGCATCACATATTCTTCAAGGTTCTATTACAACCTACTCCTGAATTCTGACTTCGAATTTGAACCTTTGTTTATAAAGTGCCAGAGAAAGATAAGGTAAACGTATATGATCAGAACTTAAAATTAATAATTGTACTGCACGTTTGTCCCCCACACCTATTTGTTGAATGTACAATAAAAGATGGGACTCAAAATTAACAGATTTTTACATTTTTTTTTCAAATAGGACGTTCGATGTATTGTTATACATACAGATCGTCCAAGAGAAACTTCATATGATATTCTATAATAGCGTTTTGATTTTTTTTGAGTTACAGTAGAACTTCGATTATCCGAAACAGATAGCATACAATAATTTCTCCGTTTTAACCGAAGTTGTTCGGGAAATCGGCGCATGATCCGAAATAGCCGCCGGTAGTTCCCCTTTCGGCGTTTGCATCATTAGATTCGCTGCCGGTGATTCCCCAAGCGCGTTTGCGGAATTCACTGGTATGTGTGCGTGTATGTTTGTTTCAGTCAGGTTCATAATCGCGAAGATGGAGCAACATAGGAACAAACGTAAACGCGTTGTTGCTACCATAGAATATAAACTTGAGGCACGTGTAGATAGATGTGATTTGCTTAAAAACGTGGCAAGTGATTTGGGTGTGGGCGTGAGTACCATTTCAGAATGAGAAGATTGAAAAGTGGTCTAGTGTTCTGACATCATCGCAGCCGTCACGGAAAACTATGAAAAATGGGGAATATCAAAAAGTGGAGGATCCTTTATATCTGTGGTTTACACAGAATCGAGAACGTGAAATACCAATTTCCGGCCCAATTCTAAAGCAAAAGGCAGTCAACATAAGTGAAGAATTGCCAGTTATTGAAGCGCCTGATAACTTTACAGCCAGTGATGGTTGGCTGCATAGATGGAAAAAACAACACGGTATACGAGAATTAAAAGTTTGCGGAGAAAAGTTATCTGCCGCTAAGTCCGCTGCATTAAAATTTGGAGAACATTGTAAGGAATTAATGAAACAGTATGGTTTAAATCCAGAACAAATTTACAACTGCGACGAAACGTGCCTAAACTATAAAATGTTACCGGCGAAAAGTTTAGCTTCAAAACGAGAATCTGGAGCTCCTGGTTACAAACGCAGTAAAGAACGTATGACTATCGTTGCTTGTAGCAATGTTTCCAGTACACAGAAACTTCCTTTGTTGTTAATCGGAAAATCAGCTAAACCAAGAGCATTTAAACACGTCCGTCCCACTGCTCTTCCAGTGCGGTATAAAAATCAAAAAATACCTGGATAGATGCCACTCTATTTAAGGACTGGTTTTACAGTAATCTTTATTCGCAAGACAGAAAATGTATTTTGCTATTAGACAATGCTCCGAGCCACCCAAGTGAGGAGCAACTTAAAAGTGGAGAAATACGAGTGACGTTTTTTCCTCCTAATGTAACGTCACTGATTCACAAAATGGATGAAGCAGTTTTAGAAAATTTAAGACGCAATTACAGACTTTTGTTATTAGAGCAAATTTTGATCAAGTTGATAATGATTGTAACCTCATTGATTGTTTAAAAGATATTAACCTCAAGAATGTGGCATATTGGATAGCAGAAGCATGGATCCAAGTAAAAAATTCTACTTTACAAAAATCTTGGTCGACAATAATTAAGCAAGAACTGGAACCTTGCGCAGACTATGAGAATAACAACGAAAATTTACATGAGATCGTCGTAAAAATAGCAGGATGTGAAAATCATACCCAACGAGATGTGGGTGAATGGATTAATGGTGATGATGTGATGAAAAGATGCATTTCTTGATACTACATTTATTTGAAAACTAACATCCAAATAGTAATGTTTGATTGCAATAGATTGAGCAAATTAAAAATAATAATAGGAATTATTATATTATTTAGGCAGCAGCGGTGGCCGCAGTAGTAGACTCTTCGGTCTCCTGATCAGTCGCCGTGCGCTGTGCGGGTTCGAGTCCCGTCCCAGGAGAAATTTTTCTCTTGGCTATGGATGTGATTGTCCGTAGGTAGTAGATGGTCTGTGACTGTCGAACGCGGAGGTACCACCCGGCGGTTCTCGTAGGCGGAGCCAGAATGTGTGCATGTTGCATGTACACGTGTTCCCTCGCCAGAGTCCGTGTGGCGTCCCCCCCCTTTCCCATGTATCCCCCTATAGCCCCACGGTACCCAATGGGTGCTTAGGCCTTAGGCCTTCGTGGTAGTTGGAGTATAAAAAAAATGGTGATGAATTGGTGGAATAATTAACTGATTACAGAACTAATAACTGTTTGTAACAATGGCGGCGATTAGACAGTTTTTAATGATGCTAATAACAATGAGACAAAAATATCTGGCAAAATATCAGATTCTGAGGGACTAGAAGCTCTACAAAAGGCGTTGACTTACGTCGAACAACAAGAACATGCGACAGCAGCTGATGTGCTACTTATGAAAAGTTGGAGGGATATTGCTGCCAAAAATAGGAACAATGCAAAACGTGTACAGTTAAAAATTACTTCCTTTGTTACTAAATACTCATAAATACCTATGTATGTATTTCAATAAGAGCATTATGAGTCTAAATATTTATTTCCGTTTTATCCGAAATTTGGATTATCCCAAAGCACTTGGGTCCACAGTATTTCGGATAGTCGGGGTTCTACTGTAATTGATTCAATGATCAAAAAAGCTCGAACTTGACAGCCTTCATTCTGAAAGTTAGTGATTTTATATTCTAGGGTTCTACAGTGTTTATATGGAGCTTCAAAATGAGGTATCATATGACCATTCTCTAATTGAAAAGTGCCCAACTGTCATCTTGAAATTGACAACTGCCACTTTCACGCTCAAATTTAGTATTCTTGCAATAATCTCATCACCCTGAATATCAGCTCGCTTACTTGATTCTTTCATAAAAACAAGTGGGAACCTTTTTCAAAGGCATTATAAAAATGTTGTTTTTAGGCCTCATCATGTCAAAAATACTATCAACCAACTAGACTATAATGAACCTGCAAGTGCTCTTCTATTATGTTGTCTCCTTAACTACTGCAAATATGAGGACATTACAGCATTGCTTCGATTCTACATTGATAATTTTGCCCAGGTATATAGGTGATAATTTAGATCTTTGCTGTCATCTTTTTGTGACTTTTTGCCCAACAGAATCTGTTTCTCTCAAAATCCTTGTCACACATTGACCAAAAAATACGTAACATCAAAATAAAGTCATAAACTTATTACTTTGTTAACAAAACCTACTAAAATCACTTGTTTCACTGTCAACAAAGTCATCAAATAGGCATCTGCAAAGGGATCAGTGGCAGAGCATGAGGATCAACCCCCCGTATTGGGGAATCATTTACATACATTCTATAACAAACTATGTGCATGACATAGCTAATACTACAGGATGTTTCTTAATGACATATAATAATCCAGGATATGATTCGTCAGATAATTTTAAGAAGAAAAATTTAGATGAACATACGTCCGCAATGGCTTAAATTTTTCACTACAGACTGCTGAATTTTTGAGAAAAACTTCATTTCTATTTTTATAGGCAGCAGCGGTGGCATAGCGGTAGACGCTAGGTGTCTACTAATTAGCCGCCGTGAGCTGCGCGGGTTCGAATCCTGTCCAAAGAGACTTTTTCTCTTGGCTATGGATGTTGTACGTAGGTGGTAGATGCTCTTAGACTGCCGATCGTGGCGGTACCACCCGGCGGATATCTAAGGCGGGGCCAGAATATCTACATGTTTTGCATGTACACGTGTTCCCATATTTAGGCCTGCGTGATGGCTGAAGTATATAAAAAATGTTCAAAAGTGCTTTATATAGTAGGTTTCGTTTTAGCATCTACACTGAGAACCAAATTTGTCTGATCGCTTGAGTTCAACGTGTACTAGAGAGAAGTGTGTATAGACACATACAATGTGAGAAAAAGATAGAAGCCAGCTGGATAGCGAAACTCTCCACCGCGTTGTCTAGCAACGCTGACGCGGCAATTCCTTGAATTAAGATGCATGTGGAAAATATTCGTTTGTTTATTCTCTACGCCCAAATAATGGTTTTATTTTGAGCGTACACATTTTTTAATTGTGGATTGTGTCGAATTTATTTAGGATCGATCCGGAGCGGTCCTAAATGAAACGTCAGGTTCGCCACAAATTTTGCAACATTGCATCATTGGTTCGCTTGGCAACACCAGATCTCGTACACCCAAGGCAAGGTTTCCACCTCCATGATCATAGATGAGCGATTTTGGTCAGTACCCTCTAGCGCTCATTGTGGAGTGTCGTCCTGCTTCGAAATGGTTTTGACCTGCGTACATGCAGGCAGTGATAATTTGTATTGCGTAATGGTATTACAGTATATTGTAGGACGCCTACAATTGTAGGACGCCTTTATGGCCTTTATGGATTTTCATAGTTTTCTGCTATTCCGTGTCAGCGATTTATTTTGAGGTTATGATACAAATATCTAATTACTTGAAATTGTTCATGCTTTTGATTTATATCATCTGTTATATAGCCTGAAATTTCCTACAATTCAAGAAGAAAACATGGCTTGACAATGGGAGAGCGCTTACACTGACACAGAACAATAGAAATCTAGAAATATTCCAACCTTTCTGAAGGAGAGGACATGCTAAGAAAATCAAGTAACCTAACCTATTGTAGAAGCCTGTGCGAACATTTTCTGGTGTAACATATTGGCACGTCACCGTTGCTAGGCAATGTGGTGATGACCTTCGCTCTTCAGCCGGCTTCTATCTCTTTCTAACATGTATTAATACTTCTCGTGCTTCTCTCTCGAACACATTGAGCTCAAGTCGTCAGACAAATTTGGTTTTTCCTGTATTAGACGATGTAAAATCACATATTTTAGTATAAAAGTTGTTTTATTACGCCACCAGTAGCGTCCCTACAAACATCTCTCACCAAAAATTGGTGCATGTACAGTACCAAAAGAAACAGTTACTGTTTTGTTGTTTTAATCATAAATGATACAGAAGATAGTAAAATATGGTATTCATTGAGATTTTGTTGGATTTTAACATGTTATTCAACAGTTATTGGAAAAACGAATTCCTGCAGAGGATTGTACCTCCAAAACAAAGCGGTATTTTAAAAATCGTCAAAGAATAAAATAGTCAGTGTTACTCATACTTACACTCTATTCAGTGAAATCCATATACCAGTGACGTCGTAATGAGTACGAGAGAGAAGCACACGAAGCGTGCAGTACGTGTTAGAAGGAGGTAGATCAACAACGTTTCCTTGCAACCCGAGTGGCGAGGCCACGGACGCCTGCGGCTTGCCGCGTTGCCATCGGCATCTCACAAACACTTCTCACGCTTCTGTCTGATACACATTACGTCAGCTCAACTTAACCCTCACCGTATATGTTGTGTTCGATATTTGATCTTAATATTCCAGATCTCGGTGCGGCAGATAGCAGGTCATCTAGCAGTAGCCTTCCAGCAAATTTTAACAAATCACACGCTTGCTGAGGAAGATGTTCCACAACTTGACGTATTACAGAGCTTAATTATGGAGGCTCTATTCGAGCATAACTTTCCTGTGAACAGCATCAAACCATCTTACCTCTTATTCCAAAATATCAGAAATCTTTTGAGGATTGATACTCAACATTATACTTTGGATCAATTGATGTTCATCACGTCAAATCGAGCTTTTAATAGGATAAATAATCCACAGTTCGGTGACCCTGGTTCTATAATGTATCTCGCTGAATTGTGTTTGCTTCTAAACAAGCTGCCGACTGAGAATGTTCTGACTATACTAGAATCTTTTATGAATGATTCTTTTAAGGTGGAAGGTAAGTGTTGTTTTGCTATCCATCTTCTAAAACTTGTCTTTTGTGGATCAAGACCTTCCTCCTGGGAAAAATTCCTGCGGGGGGTCATTTAGTATGCTTTATCGAGCGTCTTTCTTTCAAAAGCCGTTCAAAGTTAGGGCTTTACAGAGCGCATAGGTCAGGCAAGTTTTCATAATAACACATATACTAATATACAGAAACAAAATTCCTCGTCATGAAGTACCACAGCAAGTGGCTATAACCGGCCGCGTGGTTGTGGTTAGATGTCGCCTTGGAAATTCGAGGTCGTCTAGCCATTTTATACTACAATGTGTAGGTTGGCTCTTGTTGTGGACCTCGTGTGTGATTTTTTCCCTCTCCATATTTGTTTCCTCAGGTTACACCCGTATCCAGATGTATGAGCATGTGCATCTACTTTTGTAGTTGCATATGTGCATTCATTTCGGGCCTGATGAAGCCAACCAGCAGAAATACGTATCGCTGGGGTTACCTATCCTATTTTCTGCTCGAATCCACTTTCCTTCTTTTTGCGGATTTTGCCCATTATTTTCCTATTCTATATATACAGGGTGACTTCGAAGTTGAGTCATTTATTTTAACAGTGTGTAGATCTGATCAAAAGAAATGTTTTTTTCCTTTACCATTTTTCTGGTAAAATTAAAGTAACAAAGTTATAGCCCTTTGGAAGTTTGAGTACCGCCCTGTCTCAATAATATCATGTGTTCGTGTTTGGCTACAACGGTTCATCGCATCGGAAACAAAAAAGCGAAAGAATTTGGAACGATGTTTTTACGATTACAATTCAGTTCAGTTATACATACAGTCAGTTTCAGTCGCGTGTGAATAGTGAAATAAAAAATGGCACATGTTTATGCGGATCGGTTTCCCAATCGAGTGCAACCAACCCCTCGTGCCTTTGTTAATGTAGTACAACGGGCTCGTGAATCAGGTGACTTAAGACCTCACAGGGGACCTCACGATCAAATACAGGTCCGCACTGAAATACTTGTCGGGAGGATACTTTATAAAACAAGGTAACATTTTTTTTTTATTTTTACACACATATTTTGGTTTATCTTCCTTCTACAATCATTATCTGAAAATTAATGACTCAACTTCAAAGTCACCCTGTATATATATATATACAGGGTGACTTTGAAGTTGAGTCATTAATTTTCAGATAATGATTGTAGAAGGAAGATAAACCAAAGTATGTGTAAAAATAAAAAAAAAATGTTACCTTGTTTTATAAAGTATCCTCCCGACAAGTATTTCAGTGCGGACCTGTATTTGATCGTGCGGTCTTGGAGCACCGGCGTGCCGTCCCCTGTGAGGTCTTAAGTCACCTGATTCACGAGCCCTTTGTACTACATTAACAAAGGCACGAGGGGTTGGTTGCACTCGATTGGGAAACCGATTGTTTAATTTTGATTGGCTTACAAGTTCTAATACACTTTATTCAAATTTAAATTTAAACAAATTAAGAGTGTTATTGGAGGTGGAACAATGTAAACTTGTTTATAAAATTATAAATAATCTACTAAAAAGTAACATAAATATTAGGTTCTACCATAACGTGCATGATCACCAAACAAGATCACTAAATAATGTTTATCAAATTTCCACAAGAACTAACATAGGTTTAAAAAATCCGTTCACAGACGCAATTAAGAAATTCAATAATGTACCTCATTGTATAAAAGATTCAAATAACTATAGAAGTTTTGTTAGAGAATTGAAAGATTGTAAAAATGTTAATGAATTTATTTGTTGAAATTATGAGCAACATTGCAGTGTACCTGTAGTTCATATATATTAATTATTGTCTTGTTATTCTCGAGGCCAGTGTTTGCAAACACTGATTAGGGAATTATTGTTATAACTGTTATACTTTTGTATTATTGTGTTTAAATAAATTATTTCAAAAAAAATTTTTACGATATAATTAGTAAGTACTGTTAAAATCTGAATTAATCGATTAATACCACTGTATCTGTAAGTAGATTGAAAAGAAAATGTTACGAACACGCACTAACCGTCAATCGATCCTACAATTGTAGGACGCCTTTATGGTCTCCTTGATTTTAATAGTATTTTTCCTCCTTCAAAAAGGCTGGTGTATTTCTAGCTTTCTACTGTTCCTATTGTGAAATTATGTTTCCTTTTTGAATTGAAAGAAATTTCAGGGTGAAGAAAGTGTAACACAAACATTCTGACTACACATGATGTGCATGAGCATGAAACAAGGTCATATAATAATTTGTAGCAGATTCCTACTAGAACTAATATAGGATTGAATAACCCTGTCACTGGTAAACGCACATGCATTCAGATATACTGTAAAGTCACTCGAATTGTTGAACTTACTCTAGCTAGTATTCGCCCTTTAAATATTGTGTCTTTGTTTTAGAGATTAGAGAACTTTGTTTTCGATAAAATTTGTATAGATTGACTATGGAATAGAGATTTGTTTTAAGAAAATAAAAGCTGAACTACTTATTATTGCAAACAATACAAAATTAAGACAAAGGATCACTTAAATAAACGTCAGGTTCAAGTTGAAGTATCGTTGTAAGTAGTCACAAATATAGGCATAGGTAGATATTCATCAAATAAGGTTAACGTTTACGTAAGCCTCTACTATCTCCAACAAAGTTGTTCCAATTATTTTTACATCCTCAATAAAGTGTAAACAAATGAATTCAGGACTTACCAAACTCTAGAAGGCCTTGTCGTGTCTCCAAATGTATACAATAGGTAACATAACACCACAGAATCACTGCAAATCGGCACACTACACGACGAAACATCACATTCGAAACCGCAGATGTTCTTTGTTTGTACACGACGCGCGCGACGTGTTGCCTCGGCGAGATCCAAAGATCGACTGAACAGCAGCAGTGCGTTGTGCGCCGGCCGTCCGCATCGGAACGCTCTCGATTACGTCACAGTCATATGTCCGATTCTCTCTGCCAATCGCATCTTACGCGGAAAGTGGGGTGCGCGGTGGACCGCCGTTGAACGCCGTCAACTTGAAGCTCCATTTACCAGCGATAGGTGTAGCTCCGCCCACCCCACTTTCCGCCTAACATGCGATTGGCAGAGAGAAACGGACATGTGACTGTGACGTAATCGAGAGCGTTCCGGTACGGACGGCCGGCGCACAGCGCGCTGGTGCTGTTCAGTCGATCTTCGGATATTGCGGAGGCAATACGTCGCACGCGTCGTGCACAAACAAAGGAACATCCGCGGTTTCGAATGTGATGTTAGATTGTTTCATCGTGTAGTGTGCCGATTTAGTGATTCTGTGGTGTTGTGTTACCTATTGGATACATTTGGAGACACGGCAAGGCTTGCTTAGGGTTTGGTAAGTGCTGAATTCATTTGTTTACACTTTCTTGTAGATATATATATATATATATATATATATACAGGGTGACTTTGAAGTTGAGTCATTAATTTTCAGATAATGATTGTAGAAGGAAGATAAACCAAAGTATGTGTAAAAATAAAAAAAAAATGTTACCTTGTTTTATAAAGTATCCTCCCGACAAGTATTTCAGTGCGGACCTGTATTTGATCGTGCGGTCTTGGAGCACCGGCATGCCGTCCCCTGTGAGGTCTTAAGTCACCTGATTCACGAGCCCTTTGTACTACATTAACAAAGGCACGAGGGGTTGGTTGCACTCGATTGGGAAACCGATCCGCATAAATCCGTGATGCCGCGTAAATAAGAATCATGTCCACAAGTTCAGCATTTTCGTAAACATGTGCCATTTTTGATTTCGTTTGAGCCACGCAACAGACACCACTATTCACTCACGCGTTACCGACTGACACTGACTGTATACAACTGAATAAAATAATTGTAAAAACATCGTTCCAAATTCTTTCGCTTTTTTGTTTCCGATGCGATGAACCGATAAGGCGGATTATATCCGATGTTGCCAAACACGAGCACATAATATTATTCTTGAGACAGGGCGGTACTCAAACTTCCAAAGGGCTATAACTTTGTTACTTTAATTTTACCAGAAAAATGGTAAAGGAAAAAAACATTTCTTTTGATCAGATCTACTCACTGTTAAAATAAATGACTCAACTTCGAAGTCACCCTGTATATATATATTTATATATAATCAGGGTTTAGTGTGTAGTCCATAATGACATTAAAATAATGTTCCTTTAAATAGTTTAATAAGAATTTTCTAAGTCTCATTTCTCATTTTGGCTCAGCTCCAAAAGACGCTTATAAGAAATTCAGAGTTTGTATGTACGGAAAATTTTTAAAGTGGATAAAGTCGATGAATGCATGGAAAGTCGGTCTTTTTGACGCCATTTTTTAAACCAGTTGCAGCTGCTGAAACGCCTGACATTTATATCCAGCTTATCACACTTTTTACAACGATTGCTATGATGAAAAAAACCAAGATACCACAAGCTGTAAGATATTTGAAGCAAGCTATTGCAGAGGAGAATCAAATTATAAAAGTACTAGCGTACAAACTGTACTATTCATTATGTCAAGAGTAAGTGCATTGAATAACGGAATTATACAGGATGTTCTAGAATATATGTTCAATCTGTCGGATTTCTAACCAGTATTCAGCAGTGTTTTTAGGAGCCTGCATCTCGCTAGGGGAGTGCCTCAGTTTAATTTTATAGGTACTGTCAGTCACATTATTTTTTTGTGCTCTACATGAACCCCAGATCGAATATATTCTGGAATACCCTGTAACCACATGAAAGAATACGATACAAAAAACACAAGGAACGAGTTATACTGGAAGTGGCTGAATTTGTAATACGGGGTAAATTAAGTGATGAGCCTGATTCTATTTAATTTTTTTATTCAAATATAATTACAATGTTATATTGTCACCCTTCCTTCTGAAGCCACACAGCGCTAGAAATGGTTTTTCCACTCCTCATTGCAGTGCTGGCACTTCGACACTGAATAGCCTTCAGTTGGTCGGCTACAGCGTTTTGAATGTTTTCGACTGTCCCATGGGCCCACATTTTGATAATCTACAACATACTGCAAATTCAGCCAATTCTACTGTACCCCCTTTTCTATGTTTTGTGTCCTATTTTCTATAAAAATGTTTTCAGAATGACCCACGAATATGAAGACGTGCTCAGGTTTGCTTTCAAGGAGGTCGTATATGGAGATCCCTGTCTAGTGAAAATTTGTATAATTACATTAGAAGAATTGATACACCATAACTACACCAAACTTGACAGTCACAACTTCTTCAGATTTATTTATGCCTTAGGATGCGATGATATGTGTATATTTATGAGAGAAATTTTGAAGAAAAGGTTCATATTTTCGAATATGAATGACATATCTAGATTTTATGTGCAATCCGTTGTATATTGTCATACGTTTACAAAGGTAACATTATTAATCCATATTCATTGAAACATTTTTTTTCTACAACCAACCGAAAAAGTAAGCAAAGTTAACGTTTTTTGAGGCCGATGGCAAAGTAGCAAAAACTTGCACTAGTGATTTCGGTCGGACCGAGCACTAAACACTTTCATGTTGCCACAATGTAAGGCGGCCTCGATGGCCGAGTGGGTAGCACCTCGAGCTACTAGTCGGTCGAACCGAGACTCGCGGGTTCGAATCTTCGCCTCGGAAGTTAATCCCGAGCCACATCACGCACCAGATCGATACTAAGATCAACATACGAGGTCTGTAAATTAAGTTTTTTTTTTATATCGAAACAGCCGCGCAGGCAGAAGCCTAAATGTCGGAACACCGCGGCTGCTATGATGATCCCAAAGAAATTTTGTTAATACGATTTTTGAACTGCCTAAGGTTAGTAGAACTGGGAAAAGCTTCCTCCCGTAGATTGTTCCACAATCTAGACACCCTCGGGACAAAGGAGCGGTCGTATCGGCCAGTTCTGGATGTACGAAGTTTGACACGGTTAGGATGGGACGCCGAAGTCAGGCGGGTCTGTCTGGCAGGCACATCGCGCGGCGGCATCATAGAAGAGAACTCTGAGGAGCAAAGCCCGTTGGTGTAGCGATAGAAAAGAGCTAGATCGCCGACGGCCGGCCGGTGCGAAAGAGTCCCGAGACTGTCTGTTAGAGAGGAGTCATCGATCAGTCGGACCGCCCTCCTCTGGACAGCATCGAGCATGGACAATGTAGTCGGGGCGGCAGCACCCCAAATGTGTGAGCAATACTCGAGGCTAGGCCTTATCTGGGCCTTGTATAGAGTGAGAAGGTCATGCGGAGAAAAGTACTTCTTAGCCCTAAACAAATAGCCTAGCTTTTTCCCAGCAGCTGAAGCTATTGAAGAGATGTGTTCGTGCCAGATCAGGTCCTCGGTGATCTGGACTCCGACCAGTCGAAATGAATGGCTCTTTGGTTGAACTCGACCGTCCATCGAAACTGTATGAGCGCTAGGACGCTTTTTGTTCGTCAAAGTACAATACTGTGTTTTGGAAGCATTGAACTGTACAAGATTGTTGCGTCCCCAAGCAGTGATAGCCTCCAGGTCTCTTGTCAGAGAAGAAGTCGTCGCTAGTCTTCTTTTTTCCAGCTCAGCGGCAGAGATCGGCTTGTCACTCTGAATTCCTGCATGTAGAGTGCTGTCATCAGCGAAGCTGTGGATTGGGTTGATCGTGCAGGAAAGGAGGTCGTTGATATGTAAGAGAAACAGTGTTGGAGCCAAGACCGATCCCTGGGGAACACCCGCGTTGACGGTGTGGGATGAAGAGGAGAATCCGTCAATTACGACGGATATCTTGCGGCCAGAGATAAAGTCAGCCACCCATCTGCAAAGCTTTTCTGGGAGGCCGTAGGATGGAAGTTTGCTTAAGAGGGCAGCGTGCCACAGCTGATCGAACGCTTTCGTGATGTCAAGAGCAACGACATGAGCCTCACCATGAGACTGGATGAGTTTACTCCACAGTTGCGTGACGTAAGCTAGGAGGTCCCCTGTGGATCGTTGGTGCCGGAAACCGTACTGCCTGTCGCTAATCAAGCTGTGACGTTCGAGGTAGTCCAGAAGCTCGCGATTTATGCACCTCTCCATCACTTTACTTATAACAGAAAGCAGAGCTATAGGCCTGTAGTTGTAAGGGTCGGTTTTAGATCCTTTTTTTGGTATGTGCTGTACATGAGCAAATTTCCAGTTTTCTGGGAAGGTGCTGGATTCATAAGATATCTGGAAGAGACGCGAAAAAACTGGAGCAAGCTCCGCTACACATCTCTTCAGTACAATGGCAGGAATCAAGTCCGGACCAGAAGCTTTGTTGATGTCGAGCGACAAGAGCACTCGTCTTACGTTATGAGACTGATTTTTTTAATTCCTTTATTCAAATTTGATTACAATGTTATATTGTCACTCTCAAAATAACTTCCTTCTTTAACCACACAGGGATGTGTTTGTTAATTGCTTGGTAATGTAATACCGTACATAGTAATGGAATGTAGACTGACAAATGAAATTTTACTCTGGAATACTGTGAAACTTTATTTTTAAAATTAGTTTTAAATTATTAGTCATGTAATGACACTTGATGACAGCCGACTAATGTGTAACCAAGTTTTCTGCGACCGTTGTAATTATTATAAGACACCCTAGGAATACCAGGTAGCATTTATCATGAAAAATATATATTCTGCCAATTTTGAACAGTTTTTGATGACCAAAGAAAATAAACAATGAACCATGAGAATGGCAAGTGACAGAAAGAAGAAAAGCACACTTTTGACGTTTCAGAAGGATTCCTTTGTTCTACATCCGAACCCAAGTAACAGGTACGTCAAACAATTATGAACGCTAAAATTCTTACAGAGTAGTACAAAGTACACTCTGTAACAATTTACGAACGCGGCCCAGCGTTGGAAACGGCTCTTCATCTCCTCATAGCAGTGCTGGCACTCCGACACTGAATAGCCTTCAGTTGGTCGGTTACAGCATTTTGAATGTTTGCGACTATCCCAAAATGAGTTTCCTTGAGGTGATTTTTCAATTTCGGGAAGAGAAAAAAGGCACAAGGACTCAAGTCCGGCGAATAAGGAGGCTGAGGAGCGACAGTATGTTTTTACTGGCCAAAAACTTGTTTATTGACATTGCTGTGAGACAAGGAGCATTACCTTGATGCAACACCCAGTTGTTCTTGATCTGATGAACGGTGGTGTGAGCCAAATTTGACTCTTCCATAATCATTCTGACTGACAACCGACGATCTGAACGCACAAGATCCCGGATTCTGTCCATATTTTCATCAGTTCTTGAAGATGAAGGCCTTCCGCTAAGTGGTTCATCTTCAATCGACTCTCTCCCTTCTGAAAATGCCTTAAACCACCGAAAAACTCCGTAGCCCTGCTGAAGTTTAGCAAGAGTTTCCGTTGCGTTGTGCCCAAGTCTGAAGCACCGTTGCTCGAAATTGATGTCTCTCATTTTTATAACACAATAGAGAAAACTGTTTCACAAAAAATCGCTACGGGCAACCAAATGACTCGAGCGAGTTCAAACTTGTACCGAAGGCTGATTACATGTTCCCCTGTCTCCCACCAAGTCCGGCACCTCCAGTGTTGCCAGATTGAACGCTACGTTGCCAATCTCATCACTTGATTTACAGACCTCGTATCTCCAGCGTACACTGTCGTGGCCTCATTTCTGTGCAGTATATATCCCCGGGCTATGTAACCTTCACCAACTTAGGCTGCATCAATTAAGACATTGTCTAATCCTGAGATTGTTCCAATGGAATGTTTACTGGGTGATATAAGTTAAATTGCCGCGGTTGTAGAAAAAATCTTGTGTAAACTACCGAGTCGCTCTGAAAATATTGTTGTTCTCGACTTCGCTTCACGCAGACCAAACGTATTTCTTGAGCGACAAGGTAGCATTTTGCGTTCTTAATACAGGGTGGCCCATAAGTCCTTTGAGCTGGAAAAAAAGGAATAAAACAAAACTAGTTACATTATGAAGACTTATTATATCTTGTTATCATCTTTATTGAATGGGAATTATGTTTTAAAAATCACATCGTCTAAATGCAATCCATTACGATCACGGCACTCATATAAACGACGTCTAAAATTGTCGATGACTGCGCGGCAAGTCAACACTGTAATGCTTGCCATTTCTCTTCGGATATTTCATCAACTGATCGCGGAGTGGTGTCGTACACTTTACTCTTGAGGTAGCCCCATAAAAAGAAGTCCATTGGGGTCAAATCTGGACTACGTGGTGGCCAGGAAATGTCTCCTCTTCGAGAAATTACTTTGCTGGGAAAAAGTTGACAGACGACGGGCATAGAAGTGTTGGAGGTGTGGGCAGTTGCTCCGTCCTGTTGAAACCAGGTCTGCGTATTATAGCCTGGAAAATTCTGCAACGCTGGTGTCAAAAACTCTTCTATCATTGCTACATACCGCTCCGAAGTAACAGTTAATGCGCGACCTCTGTCGTCCTCAAAAAAATAAGGGCCTACGACGCCATGCGCTGACATAGCAGCCCAAACTGTAACTTTAGGGCTGTGTAAGGACTTGTGATGCTTACGCCTTGGATTTTCGGGGCTCCAATAACGGCAATTTTGTTTATTTACATCCCCTTTTAAATAGAAGTGAGCCTCGTCCGAGAACAACACATTATTGAGCGAAGAAAATCGATTCAACATTTCATTCGCAAAGTTTAGTCTCTGAATAGCGTCATTATCTTTTAATTCCTGCACTAACTGAATTTTGTAAGCGTGCAGACGTAAATCTTTCCTTAAAATCCGCTGTAAAGATGTTTTGGGTACGTTTAGTGCACTGGAACGCTTACGAGTAGACTGGATAGGATTTTGACGAACAGACTGTGCCACAATGCTGATGTTTTCTTCAATACGAGTTGTCCTTGGTCGACCCCACCGCTGTTTATCTAACGTGGAACCAGTCTCTTCGAACTTAGCAACCCAGTTCTTAATCGTTTGAGCTGTTGGACACTTTGTAAAATTGTGTAAATTGTGGTATTCTCGATATTTACGCCGCGCAATGGTTGCCGAATCATTATTTTGATAAAACGCGCGCACACAAAAAGCACGATCCGCTCCAGTGAAACACTCCATGGCGACTGAATTCCCAGACACTGAAGATACTGCCCCCACCTCGCCCGCGCCGCTCACGCTCACCCGTTAAATTTTATTCAAATTTGAAATTTGAAAGGACTTATGCACCACCCTGTATATTAGTAACTGTTGATTTTGATTTCTTTCTAGCTGCCAAATTACTCAATTGATAGTGCATTTGAGGAGGACTTGGTTAGAATCAAATTCAAGATGGACGCTCCAAAGGAACTGATTATTTTCCTATTTAATGCATTGCCGATTAGCAAGAAATTTCATGTGTTGGTCGAGATATCCTTAATATTTAGTAGGTATCAGAAGCTGTAAATATCTCAAATCTTTCGTACAAAAATCGAATTCATGCTTGAACAAATAGGACGTGCCAAAGAAAAAATAAGCTTATGGTCAGAATAGAGATCGTTTAAAATCATATTTAATGTGTACCAGAGCAGCGTTGCCATATAAAAGTTTATTTCCTTGAGCTGCATAATTCTAGGAACGGGTTATTGAAATATATTGAATGTACCTTTCCAAGCTCAAATTAAGAAATTATTGTGATCTTACACATTTTCTAACTAAAAATATCTGACAATCTGCTAATATGCATTTCTGCGGATATGCCCATATTAGTCTGTTGATTCTTTGTTCTTTGGCGATTATGATGTTGCTAATGCTGTTTTTAGAAAGTCCTGCCTTGTAGGAATCTTACTAAAAAAAGAATAGAAAACGCGGAGTGATATATTAATAATTGGTCGCGAGCTGTTTCTTTAGGTTTTTGTTTTCTTAATCTTTTATCTAAGTATCACTTACTCAATATACACTTGTAACATTGTACTGAAAAACCATAGACACTTGGCAACAGCGGCTTCGCGGTTTGCTGATTAGTAACAAAAGATATTTCGCGAACTCTGACTTAGTAACTAATATTCTTAAGTCTCGACTGTAACCAAATACTAAACATGTTCACATGAACTGAGATCCCTAACAGTTCCCACTAATAGCAGCTATGCGCTTACCGTAATGGTCAATAGGTGGCGCTGTGCGCTGTCTTATTTCGATAGACTGTACCTCCATTATAGAGTATAGTTGAGATGCTTTCGTTCGTTTGTCCAAGACAAGAGGCCGAACCTAGACTATACTGATGAGTAGCCAAGAAAGAAGCACGGAACAGCTGCATATGGTTGGCTGTCTTTTTGGACGGACGGACGAAAGCATCATGTTTAGTTTACTCAATGGCAATTAGACCACATCTACTTAATAGCCATCTAGCGGTCACGTAGTGACTGGGTTATTAAACGTGAAATGAGATCCCTAACAATTCCAGCCAATAACAGATGGCGCTTCGCGCTGTCTTATTTCTGACCAAATACCATGAAAATCCGCAACGTGATCACGAGTTCGGGAACTAGCTGGTTCACGGCAACGGCTAAAGGCATCATGGGATTACGACGTCAATGTTTGAATGTACGAGTGATGCGCACGCGCGCTAGTCATTAAGGTCAAGCAACGTAACCGCCTGCAAGCGATATCGTGCCTTATATCGTTATTCGAAAGTCGTGATCACGTCACGGTTTTAAATCACTGATATCAAAAGTAACGATATCGGATATCACAGATATTCAAAAACAACAATATTGGCCATCTCTATTGCTGATTTATCACAAAAAAAGAAGCCCTCGTTAGAGAACCGTGGTCGTTGCTATCGGCACCCTTCAATCACGCTCTTGCTCTGTTATACAGTCCTCTCTCTTTCTCATTCACATTAAATACGGGACCTGTTAGTTGGCTCCATACGATTTCATCTCGGTATTTTGCTCATGATATCTGTATACCCATAATCTTATCGTTATTCGAAAGTCGTGTCCACGTCACGGTTTCAAATCACTGATATCAATAGTAATGATGTCGGATATCACAGATATTCAAAAACAACAATATTGGCCATCTGTATTGCTGATTTATGACAAAAAAGAAGCCCGCGTTACAAAATCGTGGTCGCTGGTATCGGCAAGCTTCAATCACGCTCTCGCTTTGTCATACATTTCTCTCTCTTTCTCATACACATTAAATACGGGACCGTTAGCTGACTCCACACGATTTCATCTCGGTATTTTGCTCATGATATCTGTATACCCATAATCTTATCGTTATTCGAAAGTCGTGTCCACGTCACGGTTTTAAATCACTGATATCAATAGTAATGATGTCGGATATCACAGATATTCAAAAACAACAATATTGGCCATCTCTATTGCTGATTTATGACAAAAAAGAAGCCCGCGTTACAAAATCGTGGTCGCTGGTATCGGCAAGCTTCAATCACGCTCTCGCTTTGTCATACATTTCTCTCTCTTTCTCATACACATTAAATACGAGACCTGTTAGTTGACTCCATACGAGTTCATCTCGGTATTTTGCTCATGATATCTGTATACCCATAATCTTATCGTTATTCGAAAGTCGTGGCCAAGAAACGGTTTGAAATCACTGATTTCAAAAGTAACGATATCGGATATCGCTGATATTGAAAAACAACAATATTGGCCATCTCTATTGCTGATTTATCACAAAAAAAGAAGCCCTCGTTAGAGAACCGTGGTCGTTGCTATCGGCACCCTTCAATCACGCTCTTGCTCTGTTATACATTCCTCTCTCTTTCTCATTCACATTAAATACGGGACCGTTAGTTGACTCCATACGATTTCATCTCGGTATTTTGCTCATGATATCTGTATACCCATAATCTTATCGTTATTCGAAAGTCGTGTCCACGTCACGGTTTTAAATCACTGATATCAATAGTAATGATGTCGGATATCACAGATATTCAAAAACAACCATATTGGCCATCTGTATTGCTGATTTATGACAAAAAAGAAGCCCGCGTTACAAAATCGTGGTCGCTGGTATCGGCAAGCTTCAATCACGCTCTCGCTTTGTCATACATTTCTCTCTCTTTCTCATACACATTAAATACGAGACCTGTTAGTTGACTCCATACGAGTTCATCTCGGTATTTTGCTCATGATATCTGTATACCCATAATCTTATCGTTATTCGAAAGTCGTGGCCAAGAAACGGTTTGAAATCACTGATTTCAAAAGTAACGATATCGGATATCGCTGATATTCAAAAACAACAATATTGGCCATCTCTATTGCTGGTTTATCACAAAAAAGAAGCTCTGTTTACAGAACCGTGGTCGTTGCTATCGGCACCCTTCAATCACGCTCTCGCTCTGTCAAACAACAATTTTGGCCAACTCTATTGCTGATTTATGACAAAAAAAGCCCACGTTACAAAATCGTGGTCGCTGGTATCGGCAAGCTTCAATCACGCTCTCGCTCTGTTGTACATTTCTCTCTCTTTCTCATACACATTAAATACGGGACCTCATCGATTCTCTGCCGACCCTGTATGTACAGGCTGCTGAGGAAATTGTAGCATAGGAAACATGATTTTATTTGTCACTTGAATAAGCAGGGAATTATGATATCTTGTTATTTTTTAATTTGTTTTAGATGATATATTGCAAGGCAATGCCACAATAGAAGATAATTTCTTTGAAGTTGTGAAAGACTTGATTTTGCCGTTCAAGCTGATCGGTAGTGGTGCTGGCGTGGTGACAGAAAAAAATTATTATGTAAACGTTTGCAAGTCTATTGAAAAGCAGATTGTCAATCACGATCCACATTTTAACGGTGAATGTCACAATGTAGTAAGTATTATCACAGCCGACGTCAACTACGAGCCGTGATGAAAGAAAGGCAACACCGCGCTCGGACGGCATGGTAGTGCTACCTGTGAACGTCGGCCGCCGCCGCCAGCGGATGTGTGCTCCGTCTCCGTGTAACTTTCAAGAACTAAATTTAATTTTGGAAAAGAGGACAGTTCGATTCGATACAAATCATCTGAATATGAAATAGCTCTAAAAAATTTAAGAATACGAAATAATCGTGATATATATGAGTCGCTAATGCAGTTAACCTAATTAAAAGTATTTAGTTTACGTTTTTTGGTGTCAGCACACTGTGTTCCAACAGGCCCAGCTTGGAAATGTGGAGTTACCTGTTTGTTTTTAATATATTTACTTTCAGTTTTACTGTTATTTTTCAATTTTACATAATCATTCAAAATTATGTTTGAAAAAATAGACAAAAGCTTAGATAAAATATCTGCATAATTGCGGCCACAGATGCAAGTTAAAGAAAATTCACTTTATATAAAGTCAGACTGAATGCTGAGCAAGGTTAACTGACACAAAATAAATTTTTGACTGTTGCTTTTCAAGAAGAAAATTTCCAATCTATCTACATTAATAATAGATTCAAAAATGGCATACATATGGTAGAATATTATTGGTACATAACTGGTTGGAATTGACAGTCCTCCTCTTTGCAAATGATCAAAATAAACATTTGTTGTTAATGAACCTTTTTCTTTAACTATTAGCGATTTGCATATCTCGCAGTTTAGGTTTTTAGAGATAGCGTGTGAAGCATATCCAGATATATAAGTCTTAGTACTATCCTCTATGTCACAATTGGCTAAGTAATTTGTCTCAAATACTTCTTTGAATATATCCAAAACTTCAGAATTTTGTTTGGTATCCAAGAAATCTTGAAAATATGCACAACATCATAAGTTAAATATATGTTCTTATCAGGATTATGTGGATTTGGAATAGAATAATTTTCTGATGAATCCTTTGCTAATTTCCTGAATATTGCTCTATTAATTCGGTGATAATCAGTAACAACACAAATAACTTCAAATCCACATTTTTGAACTAAATTTATCACATGTTCAACCAAAGGTGTCATTTCATCACCTGTTAGATTTGAAACTGGTAGTAATTTGATAATTTCTGTTATGTTTCCAAATGCTGAAGATAGCATGAAGGCTAAAACAGTTTTAGCCATGTCATTTTTATTTGAAATTTGAAAAATACAACCAGAATTTGCACGTTTTCAATAGTTGAAATCCTTAGCGTCCTGAGGCGCGAACAGCCACAGTCACACTTCTTAGTTTATTTTTAAAGCACAGAAGCACTACAACTGGAGTCTATTTCTCATATATTATAGTCACCGATCACTTTGAACACATACACACACTTTGAAGCTTAGAAAACAAACTTATCTCTTAATTACAGCCTCTGCGATTCCAAAATCACAAATTGAAAAGGTTATGTTTTCTCAGCGGGAGTAACACTACCACCTACGTTGCCAGATTTCTTTGTTCACGGCTCGTAGTTGACGTCGGCTGTGGTATTATATTTGAATTAATAAGTTTTCTTCACTACTAGCCTGATAAATCACCATTATAAACCGCGACCTTGGGATGAGAGAAGTAGCTTTTCTTTCCTCAGTAAGCGCCTGGGTAAATAATATCTCTTATAAGTCAATGTCATTCTGTCAGTTTGACAACCGAACTTAATATTTAGGAATATTTGGAAACTATTGAAAAATAAGTATTATTGAGCATAGCTCCTCGTATATTATTTTTGAACACCTCAATATTTTGCATAGCATAACGTCTTTCAGTGTTAATAGAAGAAAAACACAACCAACCAACGTTTTTGCACCTTCCTCCGCATACCATGGACCATTCCTAACCAACTGCCTGTTAAATTCATTAATTTGAGTTTTACAACAACCAACTAGATACTTTAAGTATTTGAGAAATAAATTGAAATTGTCATGATTGTAATATAAAATCGAATATTTTGTAATATAGTGTTAGTTGTGAAAAAACCTCGTTTGAGAATCTCGTGAATTATAATTATATGCGCTACGGACCCTCAAAAATGATTCACTTCTCAAGCTAGGTATGTAATGTACTCTTTTGTACTAATGGTTTTTACTTCCCACGCCTGATGGTGGAGAAGGTGTTGTAACGCGAAAAATCTCAAAGATGAGATATGTTTTTTGGATGTTATATGGCATGTACGAGTACGACACAAATATACCATCTCACACATTTCCGTCGGTCTGTCTGTCGGTCGGCAATTTTTTTATGTTAATATACTGAGTGACAAAAAAAGGTAAACACCGGAGTATGTTTATTAGAATTCAAGAGTTTTTTACATATCGATGTATCTTGCTATGAACAACAAGAGATGAAATGGTCAAGCAAGATAATGCCAGGCTGCAGGTTGCCAGAGCATCGTTTGCCTTCATGGATCAACATCGCATGAACCGTTTACCTTGACCACCACGATCGCCTGACCTATCTCCAATTGAACATGTCTGGGATAGGATAGGTCGCACGCTCTTGAATTTACAACACCCTCCACAGACTTTAGCAGCACTTACTCATGAAGTTGCAGTAGCCTGGAATGAGGTACCCCAACAGGATATCGACCACCTTATCAGCACTATGCCTAGGCGTGTCAATGGGTGTATAAGAAATCGTGGATCCTCAAGTATATATTGATACACTTCAAACACCGGAATTAAACGCACTTATTGGACATATTCCACATAAAACAGATTTTCACGTACATTTGCCCTTAAAACATATTTTCAGCATATGTCGTGTGCCACGGGGTTATTTATAAATATTGCATCTCAACTCGATCCGACCAGGCAAGCAGTGCGGCGATATACGATGTGGGCGCGATATCTACTTATATACGAGGTCTGTAAATTAAGTGATGAAACTGGCACAGGGCAACAAGTTCTCGAGTCATTTGGTTGTCAGTATCATTTTTTTTGTGAAACGAAAAACCCAAGTAGTGCATTACTGACCCTGATAAAACTTACGTCTTTTTGATGTCATTGCACAACATGGAAAATTGTACTAGAAGTTGTTCCGAAGGCGTTAATCTACTTGACGCCATTTTTTGTTTACAGGAGTATGATGCACAGATCCGACGTTGCACCATGGCTTTGTTAGATTTCCTCTTTTTTGAAAATGCTCAATTTGCAGACATATTGCAAATAACATTATTTGATGCGGTTATGCATTGGATTGACTTTGTTAAACCAGAGGTAAGAATCATTTTTCAAAACAGTTCGTCACTTCTATAGACTATACTTACCATCCTTAGAACATGTTCCATTTTAGTTGCGTAATCATGGAAGAAAACCATATGCTTCAGATACAGACAAGGTCGGCAGATAAGGATAATAATAAACCGTCTTTTATTTTCAAAGAACATTCAGTATAATAAAAAAATATATACAGGGTGTCCGCAAAGTTGGGGTTTTCCTTTACACGACGTGTAGATCTTGAAAACATAAGCAATTTTTCTAAGTACCATATACACCAATGTCTTAAGGGAACCGAGATAAAGGGCTCTGCAACATCAAAAATATCTGAATACCGCCCTGTAGCCGCGACTCGCGACATCCCCGAGTGGTACTAGGACACTAGCTCAACCCGACGACAGAACTGGGTCGGGGTCAGTGTGTCAGGTCAGTATGCAACCTTCAACCGACGGTTACGGTCACGCGTGTAGAGGTAAACGAACCCGTATAATCGATTGCGTTTCAAAAAACAACAAGCACTAGAGACGTGGCTAGAGAAGTGCAAGTATCAAAAACTAAAGTGTGGCAAACGCTGCCTGAAGAGGGGCTGTATCCGTTTCACGTCCAACGTGTACAAGCCCTTCAACCTGACGATTTTCCAGCAAGCGTGCGGTTTTGTGAGTGGTTGTTGCATCAACATGACAATAATCCGGACTTTTTCAAGTGCATATTGGTGACAGACGAATCTACGTTCACGCGTAATGGGGTGAATAACTTTTGCAACACTCATGTTTGGTCAGTAGAAAATCCGCACGCTGTCCGTCGGGCACATTTTCAACAAACATTTTCGGTGAATGTTTGGGCTGGCATGGTGAACGGTATGCTCATTGGACCATTTATTATCCCAAATCGATTGGACGGGATGCAATACCTAGACTTTTTAGCAACATTTTGCCTTCCTTGTTAGAAGATGTGCCATTAAGTGTAAGACAATCAATGTGGTTTCTGCACGATGGTCATATTTGTTACCTCTGTTCGTGGTCTGCACCACCGCCCGGCGTCTGCTCGGTAGCGCATCAGCTGATTTCATTTTCTGTTGGAGCGGTATGATTTCGGGCAGAGACGTACTTAGCCCTTCTCGTCAACTGGAGAGTGAGTACTTTTTCCTTTATTTTTTTTACTTGGTCGCCCTCGTTTCACTACACATTACCTTTGTTATTTCAAGGGTAGTTGTTTCTGAAAAGGAAAACCCCAACTTTGCGGACACCCTGTATAGTACCAGTGGCGAAGTCTAGCTGACAGCTACTCTACTCAACCACTGGAGGGGAGCACCCAAATAAGCGAAATAATATAATAAATAAATTCTATTTGTTAGGGAGGAAGAGCAAAAGAGGCGTGCTCGACACCAACGACAACGAGTCTGTGGACAATTCATTCGCGCTCTCGCTTTCACATACGTGTTTGTGTCTCTATCTAACTCGTATACTTGGAGTACGGATACCGTACTTCAATGATTCTCTGCCGATCATGTTTACCACTTTTGTCGTTTTTTATAATACGTATGTAATCTGTATCTGTTTTCAGATAATTCGCTATACTTATGAGGAAAGAGGCAAAGACCTTATTTCGTACTTCCCTAAAATTCTGAAGCTATACAGGACAAACAAAGCCAAATTCACCGTTTTGGATAGGTAGATACCATGGGTGTTCCATCTATTTGGTTGTTTGTTGATAATGATTCATTATTTCTGCATTCTCAGATTTTTTGTGTCAAATCTTTTTCTATAAACACTGCATTTTTTGATGAATATGATATTTTTCAGCCTGCCTATGGGAGTTGATCACTTCCGTCAGGATGATAAGATTGAGCTGAAGGCTGAGGACAGATATTTGTTAAAAAGTATGTCACGTACTTGATAGCCTGCAAATATATTTCGTAATAAAAAAATAAGAATAGACGTGCCTATATTTTGTCGTTATCCTGCCCCAGGTTCAAATTTCATTTGAATGAAATTTTGTATAGTATTGTGCTGGGTCATCCCAATGCAGTTTACAATGCTTCTGATGATGTGATTTTTATCTTCTTGGGGCATATCTTCCCTAGCTAGCTGTACTTGGTTCCGAAAAGCCGTTAGCGTTTGTGTAGGATGATGCCACTTCTCATCACATAATAATAATAAAAAAATAATAGTCGTCTTTATTTATAAATAAACTAACTAATTGGCCAATTTTAGTATTCGCTACTATTACACTTAACCACTTAGCAATAGACAACAACAAGATCAGAAAACACATTATATATTATATAGAAATTTCTGAAATCAAGTGTATAGTGAATATGTAAACAATTTAATTTTCTTGCGGAATGTTGACAAAGAATATCTCTTAAGCACTTCAGGAATTGAATTATACCAGGTAGCTAAGTTATACGAGAAACTTCATTTAAATAATGTGTTGTGCGGTGGAACTCTAATAACCTTGTGTCTTATAGGTCTAGTACAGTGGTAGCTCGCAAAGGCAATTCTGGTGGCTCACAGCATACTTTAAAAAGGTGTAAAAATCATAGAAGCTTCTGTAAGTTCTGTAAATTCTCATAATAAACACAAGCAGCGGCAACACTGCGGTGAGCGATCTGTTCGAGAACGATCTCGATTACTTTGAACGGAATAAATATACAAAGCGCGGCGACAGTGCGCTCAGTTTAAAACATGAGCAGTAGTAAGAAGATGACGACATACCATTTCCATTCGGAATGGGAAGAACAATATTTCTTTACAGAAGTTAAAGGTGAAAATGTATGTTTGTTATGTGATACATCTGTTTCTGTTGCTAAAAAAGGAAATATCGAGAGGCACTATAAAACTGTACATTCGAATTTTTAAAAATCATTCTCATTACGTTCTGCAACCAGAACGGAAAAACCGAAACAATGCTTATTTTTCACAGCAGCTGGACGAATCCACAGATGTCGTTGACACCTCTGAGATGACCGTGTTCGTCAAGAAAGTTTTTAGTGACTTTACGATTAAAGATCTTTTGAAGAGAAAATTCCAATATCGAAAATGGTAGTCTTGACAACCGATGGGGCTCCAGCTATGGTGGGTCGTCATAAAGGTATCATGGGGTTATGTCGTAAGAATGAAAGTTTTCCGCAATTTCTTTGTTACCACTGCATTATCGATCAGCAAGCATTATGTGGACGTTTTCTAAGACTAAACAACGTTATGAAATTGGTAGTCAAAAATATTAGATCTCAAACGTTACAAAGAAGATTATTCAAAACCTTGGCTGATGAAACTGACTGTCAATACGGGGAACTACTTGTTCACTCTGAAGTACGATGGTTAAATATAGGGGACGAGTGCTGAAACGTTTTAATGACGCCATATCCGATAGTTCAATTTTTCAAACAACGTGATGAAATGATACCGGAACTGGAAAATTCAATCTGGCTTAGAGACTTTGGTTTTCTTATGGATATTACTGAAAAATTAAATGAACTTAATTTGCAGCTTCAGGGGAGAGACAAAGAACTACCAGAAATGATTTCTGATATAAAAGAGTTTATCAAAAAGCTTGAGTTTTGGGAACTTATTCCACCTGAAGATAGGCACCCATGCACCCATGCTATATCCGCGCGACCAAAAAATATTTCGAGATAAAACGAGATACCGTAGCGTCGCCTATGAGAATTTTTCACAGCTGTTTCTCTATTTACTATACAGAGAAATCCATATAACACTGACGTCGTAATATGAACGAGCGAGAAGCGTGCAATACGTATTTTAGAAAGAGATAGAAGCACCACGTTGCCTAGCAACCCGGGTGACGGACGCAGTTTCGGCTTGCCGCGTTTCCATCGGCACACTCTTTTTAGCATACGTACGGCACGCTTCTCTCTCATACACATTATATCGTCAGTGATATTTGCATTTCTCTGTATAAGAGAGAGAGAGAACTTGGATTTATCGAAAGCCACTGATTATAAGAAAAAACGCCGAGACACGTCAAAAGATATGTCAAGGGGGACAACTTTTCAACCAAAAACTACTTCACCTCCTTTCACCCTCTGCCCCCCAGGGTCATCCCCTTAAAAAATTTAAATGACAAGGGGTATCGAGTAATAGCTTGTTTGAAAGGTCTTTTGACGTTTGATTTTTTTAGATCGGTCTATTCGTTTTCAAGAAAATTAGACATCTTTAATTTGTTCAGATAGAAAACAAAAACACACGGTAATATAACTTTTTATTTCATTAATTGAAGGGTCGGCCGGAACAACGTTGTATGTAACAAAAAAGCTCAGTGGCCGAAATCAAGAAAAACAAATTTGAACCATTTTTGTCTATGGTTGGCCAGCACAATAAAGGAACAATAGTTATACAAGGTTATTGTAATTTAAAAATGTGACACCTATTTTTCAGCAATGGGAACCATTTTTATGGAAAACGCATGTAACAAGGTTGTATGATCACGTTACTTACAACGTTGTTACAGGGACGCTTTAAATGACTATAAGCAAAACAAGTATTTTCAGCAGTTCTATTTATTAAGGGAACCAAAGAATACAGTAACATATTTTTAATAACAAAAAAATACGTTATAAGTTCATCAACGTGTTTCGAAACCAAAACTGAAACTTAAATAAGTATCACTGGGTTGCAGTTAATTTCTCATAAAATGTTACATACTTAAGCGGAATATAATCACTCATATCCTCAAGGTTTTTTAATTTTCCATCTTTGATTGGAAGAAGGTTGTGATACATTATAGGTAACTTTTCAGATGATATGATATCAGTGGTAAAAGTCATTGTTTCTGTTCTTTTACGATTGCTTATGGGAAATGAATTCCAGGGCTGCATAATATTATGAGATTTTCTCATTCTCAGAGTAGCTGGAGCAACAGCGGTAAGTTGCAGCCACAATCCTTGTGTAATTTTACATTTGAGGTATTTCCATATACAATATTCCAAAGCTGTTAAATTCTCAAAGAAGGCTTCGTGCATCCAGACAACTTTAAAAGGATTTTTAACTTTGGCTTTAGCAATGACATCGACCCACTGGAATGGTTCATAAACCATAGATATTCTTATTTGTTTACGTACATACAACGTTGTTACGCGGAGGTCTGAAATGGCGCGATTTACAAATTCGCGTCACAGTGATTGATGCGAGTAAACAGGTGGGTCTATGTTGTCAACGAATCCCAATAGGCACATACTACGTTCTTTTACGGAAATCTCATTTTATAGAAAAATGTTATATACAACGTTGTTCCTGCCGACCCTTCAATTGTTCAAAATGTTGACCGCTATTGGCCAATGTTATACGAGTAGGCGATGATCGAATTCCTGATGGACATTTTCAAAACCATGTGGGATATCACGGCAGCTTTCGATGATGCGTGGACGAAGTTCATAAAAACTTTCGGGTTGGGGAGTAATATATTGGGAATCACCCCATAGAAAAAATTCGAATGGCATCAAATCAGGAGATCTAGCAGGTCATTCTATAGGACATCTTCGCCATATCCATTTATCTGGAAACTCGTCTATCCATTTCCGAACCGGAATAACATAGTGAGGAGGAGCACCGTCTTGTTGAAAATATATTTCAGCCTTATCAAGTATAGGGTTTCCGTCTTCTTCGATTTGGTTTTCAATGGTTTCAGTGATAAGCGGCTTGATGCTATTTACCAACATATCCAAATAATATCCCAAGATTCTTACAAAAGTAGCTGACAGCAAATTAAATTCTTTCTTTCCCTTAGCAACAAATAACTAAACAGGTATAACAATAAATACAGTTTGCCCAGGATATCTGTGTTGATGAAAAGAATGCGGAAAAAAATCGGGTTATTATTTGCCACGTCTAACCTTCCGAATTGATATTCATGTTGGTAGTTTCCGTTTTAAATTATAAACGAATTGTAGATTTAGCAAACCCTAACGGGCAACATTTGCAACACTTATTTTTGTTTTCTATCTGAACAAATTAAGATAAATAAAGATTTGTCTAATTTTCTTGAAAATGAATCGACCGATTTTAAAAAATCAAACGTCAAAATAAAGGACTTCGAAACAAGCTATTACTAGATTCCCTTTGTCATTTAAAATTATCAGGGAATGACCCTGGGGGGCCGAGGATGAAGCAGTTTTTAGTTGAAAAGTTGTCCCCCTTGACAAACCTTTTGACGTGTCTCGGCGTTTTTGGAAAAGTTGAAAAGCCTCAGAGATCGGGCTTTCTATATGAGCATGTACAAGTATACAGGGTTATCCAACTTAAGTGTCCACCATTAGTAACTTTGTTATTAGTGAAAATACAAAGTTGTTTGAATTAGCGAACTAGTAGCATTTTTAACGCTGGTAAAAATGAGAAATAAAAAAAAACAATTGAGATTTTGACTTTTTTCAGTAAAATAACATTTTTTTAAATGGAAACCCCTGTATATTATATTTTTTTCTGTTAAAGCATCAAATTTTAAACAAAAAAGCTTACAATAACTTTTCTCCTAGGTTACAAATTGTTGAAGTTATGGCCTCCAATCTGAAACAATTAAATTGTATCGACAAACTTTATTTTCAACATCAACTTATAATCTTACAAAATACAATAACAATTTTTTTTAAAGAAGATGCTCGAAAACACCACCTTGTTCTTCAATACATTTTTGGGCACGTTTTTAAACTGCTCGAACTGTCTTAAGTATGGTCCTACCATCTATCTGGGTTATCTTTTCCCTAACTGCAGTCTTTAACGCGTCAAGGTTATCGTACCTTCGCTTGTAAATTTGGTTCTTTAAGTAACCCCACAAGAAGTAATCAAGTGGGTTTAGATCTGGTGATCTGGGAGGCCACTGTATTGGGCCATTTGTTCCTATCCACTGATCATTAAAAGTAGTACTTAGAAAATGATAAGTACCTCTGGAGTTGTGGGCAGGTGCGCCATCTTGCTGAAAA